TGTACTGGGCCACCCATCTAAAAGGCTGCGGGGCTTTCACAGCTGCTTCCTTGAGGGAATCCCTCTTATCCAATACTGTATTGGTTATAACAAAGACCCCCAAAGTGAGTGACGTGAATAACAGAAATGTATTATCTCACGGAGGCTAGAGGCTAGAAGCTTGAGACCAAAGTGTCAGCAAGTGGGTTCCTCTTGCGGTATGTAAAGGAGAAGCTTTCCCATGCCTTTCTCCTAGCTGCTGGTGGTCTGCTAGGAATCTCTTGCATTCCCTGGCTCGAAGAGACATCACCCTGATCTTTGCCTTCATGTTCACAAGGCATTCTCCCTGTGTACATGTCTGGTTCTGTGTCCCCTTTCTATCAGGACACTAGTCAGATTGAATTAGAGCCCACCTTAATCTAATCATCTCATTCTAACTTGACTACCTCTACAAATACTCTATCTCCACACAATTTTTGTTGTCAGGCACTGGAGATCAGAATTTTAGCGTTATGAACTTGTGGGGGTATACAACCTAACCCATAACAAGTACCTTCTGGGAAAAGAAAATATTCTCTTCAGAGCAAGTTGTGGTAACACCCACAACTACTACAAGCCACACAGATTCTTAGATGTAAGAATTAAAAGTAGCTTTCCGAAATGTATTCACAGTATTAAGGAGGATCTTTGACACAAAAAGTTCAAGAGGTATAAATCTAAATCCCTAAACTCTGAATTAATCCTCAATTTCATTTCCAACTCATTCATGGGTCAGAGTTACAACAGTTCTTCCTAGAGGACAGAAATGTCAGGGATTAATCCCTTTCCAGCAGAAGTTGAGGATTAACAAATTGGCAGCAATGCACTGGGATACAATGAAAACAAACTACTGACAAATGGCACTAGTGCTTTCATTTTTTACTCATGCCAGTCTCAGACGAACAGAAATGTAAATCGTCAGGAATAAAAGGTAAAAGAAGAGTGCACAAAACACACATAGCATTCATGGAACACCTACTATGCGCCTCTTTAAACGGTTAGCCTTGTGAGGACTTTCTGAAGAGCACAGGTAGGAAATACGGGAACAGAAGTGTGTGTGCTGCTTTTGTTCAACCACCATTAGTTTACACACCAAATGCCAACGATGAGAGTGAGAAAGCACTCCTCAGATTTCACAGGCAGCAAGGTGACTGCTCCGCAGCAGCCCCAAGACCCAAGGACAGACAGCACTGGGCTCATCACTCAAAAACGTGTCTAAAACCCCCTGAGTTTTGAGGCAGCAAGAGTGCCCTCAGCTCAACTAACTCCCACCTGAACCCTGGGTAAGACTCCCCCTCTAAACTGCAGATTCCTCCTCAGTAACATGAGACACTTGGAGCACAAGTCTCCCTGGGCTGGGTGAGGATTACATGAAATTACATGAAGTGTTTGGCTTCCAGAAAGTCCTCTCTAACTGCTGGTCTCCTCCATAGTTAACTAAAACACTGGGTTTTATTGTGGGTTTTACTGTTGCTTTATTCCTACTACTCTCTATCAGAGACTGGTGATCATCTTTTCTACTAGCTGTATTCTCCTCCATCAAACTAAGAATTAAGCTCCTTAGTAAAGGAGCCTGAGCTGTTTTGTTTTACTGCTTGTTTTTAACAAGGAAAACACTTTGGTGCAATCTGAGAACACTATACTAGGATATGCCTGCTGTTTAATGCACCAACTGTGAGCAGGAAGAGAGGACAACAGACCTTATTCAAAGAGTGGACTTCAGGGTCCCTCTTGCATACAGGCGGACTATGTAGGTCTGGGGCAGGAACAAGAAGCTGCAGTTCTCATAAGCACCCCTGTGGATGTTGAGAGTGGGTGGTTCTCACCACACAGTAAGAGACACTGGTATCTTCAATTCACAACACTGACCTCCTAGAACATCACTTCCTAAAGGTTACAGTTTCAGCTACACAATGACATGAAATATCAGCACTGAGCCTAAGGGATAAAAGTATTCAATCTTCAAACCCTACAACTTCACATATTCTGAGTCAAATAAGTCACACTTTAGCATGTATTAATATCTTCATAGAATAAAACGTTAATAGCTACTACATAAATGTTAATTGGTGCTACATACTCTGGGAACATCTTAAAACCTCATGCTGTTAAATATAACCATTCCCTCTTTGACTTTCACATTTCCTAGGTGCTAAACTTGCATTTCACCCCTTTGCTTCTCCAACTCAGCAGACAGAAGCTAAGAAGTCTGTGGAAGGTTGCAAAGACAGCAGGACAGCTAGCATCATCCATGCCTTGCTAAAGCACACTGGTGGAAAAAGAGGGGTGCAGGCGTCTTCCAGAGAACAGGACTCTACGCAGAGTTCCCAGGGATGTCTCCCCTGAGCATGTGCAAATGCCTGTCCTCTCACCTCAGTTTCTTCCTGGACGTGGGAGCAAAATGTATAAAGATGCTAAAGAAAATAGTGCCAGTGGTAACCTCATCTTTCAGACCAAAGATGATAACCTGTATAGAAAATGGAGAGAAGGTGGTTCATGGATGTTCTGTGTTCTTTCAGGTGATGGCCAGTCAAGTGTGACCACAAGAGGAGACACAGAAGGGACTCAAGTAAACCAATTTTCTTATATTTAAGGGTGCTGGAAACAGGATGCCTGGAACACCACACAGACCACGTGGGAAAACACCAGCATCATCTAGGAGGCAGAAGTGGCTGGAGAGGAGAGTCCAGACCCTGACCTTTGTTAGAGTTTCTGCAGCAAAGGCAAGGCAGGGCCAGCCAGGTCAACTGTTTAGGACTGGCTAGTTTGAATAACTTCACAAGTGCTAAGCTGTGACAGCGGTCCCTAGGGGCCTGGTTCCTGGCCCTAGATGGTTCAGGCAGAGGAATATTGCCTCCTGGGGTGCTGGGGCCAGTGGAGGCAGTGTGGCTGTGGACCAGGAGTCCACATGTCAGTGGTACTCCCCAGGTTTAGCCCTCAAATGACTCCAAAAACTGGCCAGCCCTGAACAGGACAGGCTCTCCCCAGGCAGAACGGCATCACAATACACAGAACATTAAAAACACAAATAATACAACAGAACCCTCTACTCTCTTCCAGCTTATTAAGAGGAGATTCAGAAGCCTTATTCTGAACCACAACTGAAACCTCTCCATGTCACGCCAAGGAAACCAGAGTCGATGACTTAAAAGAAATGGACTTCCCAAATACACTCAGTATGTTGAATGAAACACATTTGCTCTTGGCTTATAATTGGGACGTGCAAAGCTTTTCTGGCCTAACACAGGGGGAAGGTGGTAGGAAGTGTTGGCAAGGGTGGAAATGAGATAGAGGAACCATGGTGAGTTTTAATTGCCTAAAAAGCAACTCTTTACAACTTCTGGGAAACTTCTGAAGAAGAAAATGACTCAGCTTCAGAAAGTGTCACTGACCTCATTTCCAAAATAACAAGAGCTGCAATGCAGGGCATGTCCTCGTTCAAGGAACCCTGCATATAGATGAACATCTCTGGGGACTATTCAGCTGACCAGCATCAAACAACAGGGCTCCATTTCCACACAAACACATCCACTAATCCATTTTTCATGGATATCAACAAATATGAATTCTTATAAATTCCAAACTTTAAGAGAAGAGAGATGCCCACAAGGGCTCAAAGCATCCAGACTTAGGATTTGTTTAAAGTTAAGAATAATCTTAATTTGCGGTGCACTTTTCGCAATCCCCCTTTGCTACCCCAATTCAACCTACTCCTCCATACAGCACTTCTCCATTCCCTTCCCCTCTCACAACCCACACACAGCAAATGACTAGGGTACTTGCTTTTCTTTACAAATTGTATTTATTCCTCTGCACTGAGATGCTAGCTTTTGAAATATCAAGTCAGATAACCATGAGGGACATGCTAATTAATAACTAATAACAACTCACTGATGAACATTTATTATGTGCTAGTCTGCCAAGCATTTTATATGCCTTCTCTTCTTGAATCCTAACCATTCCAGGCACTAGGTACTATGACCATCTTCATTTTCCAGAGAAGGAAATCAAGGCCCCTCAAGATTAAGTGACTTGCCCAAAGTCATATGGCTACTAAGCAAAATTTTACTAAGTCAAAATTTAGATCTGGGTTTCCTGACTTGAGAGCCAAAAGTATAATAACTAGACTGCTAATAAGACATGGTTAGTTTCCACAAATGTCCAGTTTAGACTACATGGGCATGTTCTCTCCACGGGCACGCTATCAGCCTCAGGGGCCACACTGCAGGGACACGTCGCACCACAAGAAGGCATTTCACCCCTGGCAGCACATGGAGCAGCACATGCCAGGTGGTACCCTCGCTCCGGACTCTTTAGAGCTGTCACAAAGTGGCCACAGGTAAACGTCTCAGGGAAGGTAGAAATACTGGCCTGACAAAATGTGTAGCTTTTTCTTCTTTTTTTTAATAAAGGGGAGAAATTAAACAGCATGACAAGAGAATCATGCTGAGATCTAAGCATCTTTGTGCTAGCACTGCTGATCTTGAATAGACAGCTTAAATAAGCTTAACTCATGGCATTCATTCAAAGAATTAACCTGTTGCCAAGTAAAGTGTCTCAAAGAACTGGAATGCTGTCAAACCAGCTTAACACCATGAAATGGTACAACTTAATGAGATTCTATAAATCTCGAGGAACACAACACAGAGCTCCCTCTCCAAAGACTGATTTCACAAGTGGTGTGTTTTCTTTCTTGGGTACATACACACAGTGGTAGGCGAAATGCTGTAACTAAAAGCCCCTTTTTGAAATGAGTAGAACTTCTACTTTTCCCTTTACCTAATTCCTTTTGAATCATTTCATAAAAGCACGGGGGTTGCTACACGGATTCCTGCAAACGAGCAATTGGCCTCTATTCTAAACGAAGGAATGGAGAAGGGAAAGAGGGGGTAAAAAACCAGAATGTTATGACTGGATGGGAAAGGTAAGAAATTCAAATTCAGCAATATTTGTTTCTAAGAAAAAGTGTGACAGCTGCTCACCTGTCTACTGCTTCCACGTCAAAGCAAAACCTCTTCTCAATGGAGTCTGTTTTCCGCCGTGTGCAGGATTTGAGGGTGACTGATTCATCTTCTCCCTGTTGCAACGACACAGACAGTCAAAATGAGGCCAGAACTCGGGCCAAGCTCCTCTCCTGGACAAAAATGTCACATAAACAGGAGTGATCATTTCATCTTCTAAGACCTAAGTATTCAGGACCACAGGAGGCTGGTCACCAACTTCCTCAGGCCGAAGCCTCATGCAGATAAAATCTGTGAGCCATGTTCTACTTGGAGCCCAGCATCCTAGTATTGACAGATCATGACAGTATAGCAGCAACACATGCTAGATTAAACTCTTGTTGGTATTGTTTTAAATAAGTTTAAACTGCAGGTTTGATAAGAGTTGAAACAAGACGACCTTGAGGTCCTCCTTCCAATTCTGAGCTTCTATGATCTTGGTTCAATGGCCACTTCTCAGGAAAACATTCCTGCACCAGGTCAAATACACCAGACATGCTCACATAACACATGTACCCCTCTCCTTCCCTCATAGCACTGATCACAGCTGAGACCTGCTGCTGCCCTAAGGGATGATTCAAATGATGTCTCTCTCCTCACCAGGCTGCAAGCTCCCTGGGGGCACGTACCTAAGTCTGTTTTTCGCTTGCCCATGGGTCCCCAGAGACCAAACGGTCCCTGGAACAGAGTAGGTGTGCAATGAACATGTTTTAACAGCTTTTTGAGTATACATATATTTAAAGTATGTACTTTCTTACTGAAGAATAGTTGATTCACAATGTTGCGTTAATTTCTGCTGTCCAGCAAAGTCACTCAGTTATCTGCATACATATTCTTTTTCAGTTCTTTTCCATTATGGTTTATCACAGGATACTGACTATAGATCCCTGTGCTATACAATAGGACCTTGTTGTTTATCCATCCTATTACTCAGTCGGGTCTGACTCATTGTGACCCTATGGACAGTAGCCCTGCAGGCTCCTCTGTCCATGGAATTCTCTAGGCAAGATACTGGAATGGGTAACCATTCCCTTCTCCAGGGGATCTTGAGTATAATTTTTAATGTATAATATATTGCATATGTTTAAGCAAACAACTTATGAGTTTTGACATCTGTATACATCCATGAAATCATCAACACAATCAAGGTAATGAACATTTCCATCAGCCCCACAAGTTTCCTCCTGAGTCCCTCTGTAATCCATCAGCCCTCCACCCAGTCCATTCCCAGGCAAACACTGAATCTGTTCTGTCACTACAAATTAGTTTGAATGCTCTGTAACTTTATACAAATGGAATGCCCTTTTATTGCAGACTTCTTTCACTCAACATAATTCATTTACTGTTCACTCACACTGTGCGAATCAAGGGTTTATTTCTTTTTACAAATGATATGATCAACAAGGGGTAATACCCAAAATATATAAACAACTCATACAACTCAACAACAACAAAAAGCTAACACCTCAACTTAAAAATGGGGAGAAGAGTTAAACAGATATTTTTCCAAAGAGGAAATGCAGATGGCCAACAGACACATGAAAAGCTGCTAAACATCACTAAACATCAGAGAAACACAAGTCAAAATCACAATGAGATATCATCCTACTCCTAGCAAAAATGACTATTATCAAAAAGCCCACATATAACAAATGTCAGTGAGGATGTAGAGAAAAGGGAACCCGTGTACACTGTTGGTGGGAATGTAAATTGGTGTAGCCACTGTGGAATGCAGTATGGAGGTTTTTCAAGCAAAAGAAAACAAAAACACTAATTCAAAAATATACACATACTCCAATGTTCACAGAGGCATTATTTACAATTGTCAAGATATGAAAGCAACCTAAGTGTCCATCAACAGATGAATGGATAAAGAAGTGGTATAGGGCTTCCCTGGCAGTTCAGTTGGTTAAGAATCCGCCTTGCAATGTAGGGGACACTGGTTTGGTCCCTGGTCAGGGTGGACCCCTCCTGCTGTGGAGCAACTAAGCCCACGCACCACAACTACTAAGCCAGGGTTCTAGAGCCCACGAGCCACAACTACTGAGCCCACAACTACTGAAGCCTGCACTCCTAGAGCCCGTGCACCAAAACAAGCGACGCCACCACTACCACAACTAGAGAGTAGTCCCCACTCCTTACAACTAGAGAAAGCCTGCGTACAGCAACAAAGACCCACTGTAGCCAAAAGAAACCATATATATATCCATTTTTAAAAAACAGAAGTGGTGTGTGTGTGCATGACACACACACATACAACAGAGTACTACTCAGCCATTAAAACAGGATTAAACTCTGCCATTTGCAACAATATGGATGAACTTGGAGGGTATTACGCTTAATAACGTAAATCAGAGAAAGACAAATATAGTATAATATCACTTATCTGTGAAATCTAAAAAGTGAAACACATGTGAATAGAACAAAAAAGAAATAGACTCACAGATATATAGAAAAAACCAGCGGTTATCAGTGGGAAGAGCGAAGGAAGGAGTAGCAAGATAGGGGTAAGGGATTAAGAGATACAAATTACTATGTATAAAGTAAATAAGTTACAAGGATATATTGTACAGCACAGGGAATATAGTCAACATTTTATAATAAATATAAATGGAGTATAATTTTAAAAAATTGTGAATCACTGTTTTATACCTGAAACATAGGTAGTATTATTGGAAATCAACTATATCTCAATAAAAAATAAACATTAATATTAAAACAATGCAAGCAATTTTTTAAATCCATGATACAAAACAAAGGAGCTTTTTTCTTTCTACTATTGGGTAATATTCCATCATACAAATGGAATGCAACAGTTTTGTCACACAGCACAGCACTAATTTACTGCTTAGAAACATAGAGCTTTCTCCTGATTTCTTCTCTTCCTGTCACATAGGAATTTTTTAGGGTTCCTTTTTCTCCTTATCTGCCAATGTCTCTTCCTAAACTAGGGGGAAATTAACAAACTCGCCTAGTCTGTTGAATAGACCTAGGAAGAGACCGTCTATATTCACAAGTCTTACACTATTGTCTTCTACCGAATGGCAAAGATTAACTTCTCAGATTGAGAATTGCTCCTTCTGTAATGCATAAATGTAGGACATAAACACACAAGCATATGTACTGCTGACCATGTTACTATCTAACTCTATTTCTGATTTAATGGTGTTGGACTGCCTCTCATTTTGAAAGTTTAGGGGGAGGGTGGTTTAGTTGCTAAGTTGTATCCGACTCTAGCGACCCCATGGACAGTAGCCTGCCAGGCTCCTCTGTCCATGGGATTCTCCAGGCAAGAATACTGGAGTGGGTTACCATTTCCTTCTCCAGGTTAGGGGGAGGTGTCCCTGAGAAGTAGGAGAAAACAGAGGATCTATACAAAACTGGCAAATAGAAGCAGAAATAAGAGGAATATAAGAATCTGTTCCAAAAATGACCATAACACACCAGGAAAAATCTATAAAGACAATCTGTTCAAGCACTCATGGCTTTTAAAAATGGGGGCTAGAGATAACGATCATTTATACAAACAAAGGAAGAGTTATAACCATGACAAACTACAAAAAAAGAAGCATGTTGTGCTACAAAAGCCTAAATTAAGGGGCTGTAACCTGGGCAAAAAGGTTAGCAAAGGCTTTCTTGAACTGAGACCAAAGGATTCATAGGAGATAAAACCAAGAACACAGATCAGAGTGGAGAACAGCAGGTGAAGAGGGCCCCACAGTCAGGGTCCATGGAGCCCTGCAGGAACTGAAAGGAAGTCGGTGTGTCTGGAATCCAAGAGCAAGAGGGAAAGAGGACTGAAAAAGGGTCTGAGGAAGACAGGGACCTGATCATGCAGATTATGGTCTGTATCCTGCGAGCAGTGGGAACATAATGAAGGGTTTCAAGCCAGGGAAGGGACAGGGTCAGCCCTGGGCTATTCCAGGGCTACCACAGAGAGGGGCCTCATCTCACAAGGTAGAACTCAGGGTACTGTCTTTCACCACGCACAAGCCCTGTCTCCAAGAGGATGCAGAAAATCTGCTCACATCTCCTGGACTGAGATGAAGAGAAAAGCGGGTACTTTCAAAGGAAAATAACCCAAATGCAAAGGGATAAGGAAGGAGAGAAAGGGTGGATAAAGAGCATGTTAGGGAAAGAAAACACCCTATTACCTATTTATCTGCACCTCCTAAGAGAGCTTTGCATAAACACGTAACACAACAACATCACATGTTTCTCCTGTATAAATTAAGAAGATATCACCTCTGGACAGCCAGTTCATGTCTCCTCCACCCTGAGGCTAAGGAAACATAGAGGTGTCGTGGAAAGCTCTTATTTTATATTTATACATTTGCCTCAGAATCAGGAGATGCCAGCTCCAGAATCAGGGTTTGAGTACTGGCTTTAGTAACTCACTGATCATATGGCCTTAGAAATCACTTTCTCTCTCTGACCCTCAATTTCCTCTTTTGTAAAGGAGGAAAAAATGGATCAAACAGGATGAGAAAGGACATTTTAGAAAATGTAAAATATAAATATAAGTAATTATTACTAGAAAAATGATTTCACATAATACCAAGCTCCCAATACAGCATACGTATCAGCCTCTATTTTCTGTCCCAAGAAGTTTATATACACTAATACATATAAACCTCTTAACAACTCAGTTTCCTTTTATCTCACTAAAGTGTAAGGAGTTCCAAACACTCACCATAATTGGTTTCTGCTTTTCACTTTCAATGTGGTAAGAACAGAGTAGAGAAAATACAAGAGAGTTCCTTCATTCCAGGTTTAGGAAAGCACCACATAAACAGTCCCAAAATAAATGTGAGAGAATAACTCAGTGAAGTTGATTTCAGGGATTCCCTTGTAGCTCAATTGGTAAAGAATCTGCCTGCAGTGCAGGAGACCCGGGTTCGATCCCTGGGTTGGGAAGATCCCCTGGAGAAGGAAACGGCAACCCACTCAAGTATCCTTGCCTGGAAAATCTCATGGACAGAGGAGTCTGGTGGGCTGCAGTCCATGGGGTCACAAAGAGTCAGGCACGATTGAGCGACTAACACTTACTTACTTAACTCAGTGAAGTTGATTTCTAGAAGGACTAGAAATTAGAAAAGAACTGACTTGACCTAAGAAAGGCAGACCTAACTCTATTTCCATTTCATGATAATAAGGAACTCCTACTAACAGAGATTGTTAATACTCCTTCTAACTCTATAATTTCTCTATGTTTGATCATTTCACATGTCTGTTTTCCTGGGATTATTTATAAGTCAACTCTACCCCTAACAAGAAACATTAAAAGTGCCTTGACTTTTTTTTGTGCTTTGATACAGGGAAGGACAGAGATGCTGACCAACTCCAGTGTTGTGGCCCAAGAAAAAGAATGTCAGGAAGAGAAACTGGAAGTGGCAGAGAACAAGGGGGCAGCTTGAGGGAGCAGCTAACAGTAATGACAACAGTGTCATGCATCACTGACCTGGGCAGTCTAACCTCAAAGTCAGGGCTCTTCGCCTCTACACTGCAGTGCCTGCACACATGCAAGCAAACCCGACAGGATGCACAAAAATGCACCACAAAGAAGGCCGTGGTTGGAATACTTACAGAGGACTGCCTCATCACCGATCAGACACAGCAGAAATTTCTTTAAACTAAAGATAGAACCAGAGAAATTATCCAGAACACAGTCCAGAGATTCAAAGAAATGAAAAATATAAATATTTTTTTATTAAAAGTATTTAAATATCTCCAGTAGGAGATAATAGAAAGAATGGGGAGGTGGGAAAATTCAAAATGATAAATGATAAGAATTTTCCAAAATTACTAAAAGACACCAATTCTCAAATCCAGAAAGGCCAAAATGCCTAAGCACAACAAATTCTTTTAAAAAATTCACAGAGGACCATCATAAATAGAATATTGAAAGGAAAAAGAAGAAGAAGATGTAATGTGCAGCCAGAGAGAAGCCAGATCAGACCTAAAAAGGCAATGGAGACAGAGCGCTCCCAGAAGAAAGGTGAACACTGGGGCACGGCAAGGCACTCCTAGCAGCAGTCTCCCCACAAATGCAGCCTGGCTCTTCTAATGATGGCCACAAGAATATCTTTCACTCCACACGCTCTGCAATGTAATGTGACTGTGCTGTTCCTCCCAGCAAGACAGGGTCTGCATCCTCTCCCGCTGCAACTGGGTGAGCTTAGGTGGGCTTTTATAACTGCTTCAACCAACACACAGGGCCAACATAAGTCTAGATCATTAAAAGGCAATGCAGTGTCTGCTTTTGTTGCTGGAAGATTCACTCCTGAAAACTTTAGCTGTCCTGAAGCTGCCATGCTATGAGGAAGCCCAAAGCAGCCCACGTAGAGAGGCCAGAGAACAGGCCTTGGAACTATAGAGAGCAAAAGACAAAGAGGGAGGAGAAGAGAAGAGGAGGTCAGGAGAAAGGAAGAGAGCTATATCTGATCAGCTCAAAGTTGCTTCAAACCCTTATGATCCAGTTCCAGTCACTATCTGATTGGAACCATTTGAGAAACTCTGAGCCCAAACCACTGATCCACATGCTCCCCAAAGTCCTTACCCACAGAAACTGTAAGAAATAACTAAAATGATTGGTGCTGTTTTAAAAGTCACTACATTTTTTAGTGTTCTGTTACAATAAATAATTGGAATAGATATCTGGAAAACCAAAATGATAGATAGATAACTGGAACATCTGAACTGCCAACTGGCAGTCCTCTAGATATCAGAGGAAAGTGATGAAAATCAGTTTCACAGGATGAGGTCATCCAAGAATTTCCAGTATCTAAACACATTAACACACTTAATATTGCATATATTGAAATACAAGAATCTGTCTTAATTACAGCTTCTAACACAGCTTAGAACTAAAAATAATCATATTATTTATTTACTTTATTCAGATGACATACCCCCTGAAACTAATATATAAAAATGAAGAAAATTACAGTGAACATTGGAGATGTTACTGCAAACATGCATTACACTCATCTTGTGTTAACCAAATAAATCAAACATGAAATTTAAAAATGAACTCACCCCCTTTCCTCCTGACTTTTGGTCAAATGGTACCATGGTGATTTGTTTGGAATCCCGTTGATATGTACAGTAATGCTTCACCCAGGAAGTTCCAAAATGACCTGGAAAGTAATAGTCCCCATTAAAAACATCTCGACATGTCCACTGCATACTGGACAACACAGAACATGTAACTCACAGTGCTCACCTATCCTTACACTGTTTCTAGGGGCAATATATTCTCCACATCAGCTGGACAACCACAGGCAGAAATCTAATCTCACACACTGGAAGTGGAACTAACCCAGGACTTTTCCCAAGGACCAAGGAAGACTTTTTCCCACTAAATGCTGCATCTGATGGGTCTTAAAATACAATGGAAGTAGAGGTTCTCTGGGGAAATTAATTCATTTTCCCATCATCAATTTCCATCTGAAGCTTCCTTTCTCTCCCCTGACAGGAGTAAGATGACTGAAAAAGCACACAGAAAGGCTCCTCAAAATGCCTGTCACCGTCCCCATCTGGTGCGATGACTTCATGCTTCCCACACAGCTGTTCTGTGATCACGTGCACAGATATACAGGGGTGCTGACCTACCTTCAAACTCCTAATTTTTATTTCAGCAGAACTCAAGAAGATCTGAAAAGCAGACAAGGAAAACCCAGAGACACTAGACATGTGGAACGGAAGTAACTATAAATGCTCAAATGTAATCTAAGTGTTTGTCCCTCAAAATTATCCCTCGGCAAAGAGGCAGGTGCCCTGCAGACAAATTCTTACAGTTTCTTATTCTACTGGTGCCTGGCCAATTTATTTCAAACAAAATACTATTAGGGGAAGAAGGCCTAATTGGCATTGTTAACCTGCAAAGACCTCAATCAATATGAGTTCTGGATGCTTATAGAGATTGCATAGCAGATATGATTAAAAAAATAATAATGATAACATGAAAAAAGATTCAGCAGACACTTAATAGGTATTTTTCAGGGTACGAATACCCATTGCAAGCGTTAGATGTCACTTAATACACTAAAAAAGCAATGGAGTGTTTATATTGCAGCATCAAGGACAAATGAAAACAGCAACTATTCTCATGTGTTTTTGTGGCTTAAGAGAATATAGTCCAATGATGGCACAAAGATTTCAAAAGTGCTGTATATGTAGCTTATGCTTCTTACAAGCCTTAACAAGCTCATACCTGTAAGAATAAGGGACATAAAACTCTCATCACAACTGATACTCCAACTTCTAATCCCATTACTACACCACTGTCACCAGGGAACAATTTTATGCCCAAGCAAATTTCTGAGTAATTGCTACATAGAATAATCACTGTAAATATTTTGTTTCATAAGAAACGTCTAGGAGTGAAGACATTTGACAATCCTAATCGACAGTGCCCAGATAGGAGACTATAAGAAAAACTATCCATTAAAGAAAAACAATGTCCTTTCTTTAATCTCTAGTACTACAGGCATGAATTAAGTCTGGGGGTGCTACAGCCCAGTGCATAAATCTGAGTCATCACTGAAAACCCTAGGTTAGCAGCACCTAGCATTTCTTTCCTTGACGTCCTATGTGCAACTCAATGGCCCTTCTCCTTGGCTTGTGAAGTAAGCTTTTCTTTTTACTTTTCATAAAATTTAACTGTTGGAATGACAGGAGTTGAAGTGAAGAAGAAAAGGGCCAAAGTCATGGTAGTTTAGGCCTTGCTGAAACAAGTCTCAAAAACAACTATTATTAGGTCTACCAAAGGATATGACTATAAAGTCCAGCCAGTTAGACCTCTCCAGGGCCTCTACACCAAGGCTGTGGTATGTAAAGCTATACTGAGGGTATACAGGCACCTGAAGGGGAAAGGTGGCACCACAGAGCCTATGAATTCCAGGTTCCAACAGGATTCCCAGTTACACAGAAAACACAATATATCACGGAGATAGATAAGACCTTGTGGACAGCATCTTTCCCCTAGAAAGCTGAACTATAAAGTCATTCTCCTTTGACCAAATAAATGCTCCATGTCAGGCACTACTGGATACACCCCCTGGGGAAAAAGGCATGAGTACACCCACGCTGCTGGTTGGCCTGGCACTCACGTTTCTCCTGGACATAGAGGTACCCTTCCATAGTGTAAGGACTGATGGTCTTGTGCTCAAGGGGATTCTCCTTCATCTTCTTCATCAGGGATTCCACTTCCGACCTGGTGCCTTCAAAGCGATTTCTTGTCTAGGATGAAAGGAATTTTATCCAAATCAAAGAAATGAAACCCTCTTTGTTTCTCCAGCACTTCAGAGTATCAACCTACAGAATCCTAGGTCTAAAACCAAGTGAGGAATGTTCAGCTATCAAGAAATAAGGCAAACATTCACTTTATTGAAGTATACTTCGGCCTGACAGCCCTATTCAAGAATGACTCTCAAGCTCTAGGGACCATCAAAATCACGTGGGGAACTGGCAGGAAATGCAACTCACCAGTCCTCACCCCCAAAGATAAACTCATCACCTCTCAAACCAGAAACTTGAGTTTCTAGCAAGCGTCCCGGCAACTCCGAGGCAGAGAGCCCACAGCAAGGCAAGCCCTCCACCGCCCTCTAGGACAGAGGTGCTCTCACCCTGGCTGTTGGCTGACAGTTTCCTCCTCAAATCCAGCTGCTTCACGTAAGGTTCTCCCTCCCCCAGGACAGCCTGCACCAGTACCCAGGGGAGCCCAGGGACCACTGCAGCTCCAGGGGGCCTGTGGCATCAGCTGAGGCCTCACAGCTCAACTTCTCCCTCTGCAGGGCCTGCTGCCCGCAACTCTCTCACAGGTGTTTTTGCCGACACTGCCTCCTGGGAACCTGGTCTATGTAAATCTCCGCTTCAGAGCCTGCCTTCTGAGAAACCCAGCCCAACGGGAGGCCATACTTTGTGAAAGCTCGTCCAAGACCCTGCAACTTCCTGTTCTCAGAGGCACCACAGGGAACAATGAGAGCTCCGGCTTCCAAAAGCATACAGCCCAACCCACTAGGACACACTTGGGTTTATTTGGACACAGGACCACCCAGAGACAAAGACAACATGCAGACTAATGTGATCACATTAGGGAAGAAAGGGGTTTAGTCCCAGTGAGACTGATCAGAGGCCTAAGCAGGATTCTGTGCACCCAAAGGTCCTGCTGCTTACAGTTTGGGAAAGGAGATTGGGAGTAAGGCACACTGACTTGGATTTCGTCACTGCGAGTTGAACAAGAGCACATCCTTTGAGCTGGAGGCCAGCATGTGTGCCCCACCCCCTACTCCTAAACACATACAGTCTACTGTTTCAAGTGGCCAGGCAGCTGGACGCACAGAAGGGAGGCCGGGTGGGGTTGGGTGGGGTTGGGACTTCCACTGCCAAAGGAAATCCTGATGCTGGCGCTACAGATTTAAAACAGCAGCAGCAGCAGCACTTCCGCAAACAGAAATAACGGAGCTTTGAAATAATGTGCTTTGAAATAACAGAGGTGAGGATGAACTCTGGGACCACCAAGCACCCTGGAAATGACTGCCCTCTGCTGCCCTTTGAACCCAAGCAAGACCCATCCTCCCCATCTGCATTCCCATCCATTTACGCGATCTCTATGCAACCAGACCCATATTTTGTTTCTTCCTCCCCTTAACAAGGGAAGGAAGCCCATCCCCTCGCCCACTCACGTTCTGTATGCTGATAGTCAACTGCGTCTTGAAGTCATTGAAGTCCTTGGCCAGTTCATAACCATGGTGATAAAAAGTGAAGAGTCCTTGCAAGAACGCCAGTAGCTGTAATGAAGGCAGAGGGGAAGACCTCACATAAGCAGGTTCAAGAGGTATTATGGAGCTGTATCTGAGTTCCCAGCCCTGGTTTGAATGTAATAATAATGACAAAGTAATGATAATGACTATCATCTACTGAGCTCTTCTTACATGCCAGGCACTTGGGACTTCATATGCCCCATCTCACTGAATATTCCTAACAGTAATATTCATTTCATAGGTTTTTATCTCCATTTTAACTATAAGGAAGCAGATTCAGAGAGGTTAAGTAACTTGCCCCCAAACACACAGTATATAGCAGCTAGGATTTGAAACCAGGTATCCTTGGCACCAACACCCAAGCTCGTATCCTGTGAGCCTCATCACCTCCTAAGAAAATCACTTCTTCAGAAACTAAAGACGAGGGGTCCCACTCAGTCTCCTTCTATTAAGTTCATAACATCAGGTTATCATGCAAAAGGGTGTAGTTATACTGATAAAGAACAAAGAAGATAGAAAAGGAAGCTGGTGTGTCCTGAGTTTGCAGCCTAACAGGCAAAGTCAAATCAAAGAAAATCATCCAGATTAGACATTAGTTCAAGTGTGTTTCTGCACTTGCCATAAATTATCCAAAAGTCAACACCCTGGATCTCTTTATTAAAATAATCCCATGTTCCCACATGTTCAGTTAAGATGGTTTCTCTAAATTCTCATTTAAAGTGCCTTGGGCTAAAAGGTAAGGGCATTCCTTATTTAGTCTTGTCTTTAGTGAAGACTGAAAACATCTGTTCACCATGATTCTCACAACAGGCCTTCATATATTTAAAACCACTAATGTCCCCACCCTGAGCCTTCACTTCTCCAGGCTAAATAAATGAATGTCCTGCCATCTTTCCTCTCATCGCACACATGGAACCTCATTGCTGTTATGCTTCCTGGCCCTTTCCCAAGCTATACATATCCTGCCTCGGTCCCATATCACAAGCTGAAAGAATTATAATTAATGCCTGAACTCGTTTAGAATAACCAGGACCCCAACTCTATCACAAGCTCAATTCTGCTACATTTGGTGATCAGTCCCATTCTAACATGAACGTCTTGATGATGACTCACATCGTTTGAGTTGTTCCCTCAGACCTGCCTCAAACACACTGTATCAAGACACAGCTGCATCACTTTATACTGTTGTGTTTAATCTTCTAGTCCTTAAATGAGCATACCTTTACTTATTACACACAATCTCATTTGGTTTCACCTAACTCTCCCCTTCTGAGAAGCAGCCCTAACAATGAGAATAAAGGAGACCCTTACACTTTGCCTGTGGCAGGAATGGTAAACACCAGGGTATATACTGATCTGCCTTTAGGCAAAGCCACGTGTCCAGCCCACTTTATCAAAGAGCTTTAGACTGGAAAGTCAGGCAAGGTGCCGCTTTTAACAACACGGTCCCTTGACTTCCTGTTGCCACTGTCCCTGGAGCATCCGTTCCCTTACATCTTCACAGGAGGTAAGGAACAGGCATTGCTGGGTCCTCTGGCTAGAAACATATCTAGGGGCCCATTTCTACATCTCTAACCTAAATTAAGGAATGGGTGGTAAGCCACAGAGAGTCACTAAGGCCTAAAAATGAACTCTCTTCTTCAAGATGACCACAGTCTTTGGACATCCTCTATTTCTGTGAAGAAGGCCCATACTTTTTCTTCTAAACAGCTCCAGTAATGGAGAAGAAGGGGCTCTCATGCCAAATCTAGTGCCAGTGTTCAAAGGACAACTGTCCTTCCTTAACTCTTCCCTCCCTGTTGTCTTTGAATGCTGGTGCTCCATCAATGTTTCCAAGGCACTGAGTCACCCTCTACTGGAAAATGATGCAGAATATAAGCAACTGATGCTCAGGGGATTCCTCCTATCAACTCTGAGTTATCCTTCACTTAAAATCAAGAGGGCCTCTCTTACACAGGGTAATTATCTCAAACAGCTCACTAAGATGCCACCTGCATATACACACAAGCACTCCAAAGGCAGAGAGCTGCTAATATTTATTTTGGTTTTCACTTCCTTTGGTATCATGCCTGGTTGTCCATTTTTCTACAGGAAATGATGCCTTAAATATTGTTATCTTTGGACCACTTCCCTTCCTTCTCCCCTCACAGCATCTTTCCTCCCCTCTCCGACCTCCCACACACTGTATGCATCTCTGAACATATGACCCATGGGAAACGAAAGTCCACTGCTCAGTGGGTGGGCAAGGCCCACAGAAAGACTCCAGAGAAGAAAGGACAGGTCCACTTCAAAGAAATGCTTCTCCTCACGCAGAGAGAAGTGTGGCTGTGGCCTTAGCTGGTTATTAGGTAAGAGAAGCCTCCTGTGCAACCAGGCTCCTCCCTGGACACCAGACACATAACCACAGCAGAACAAAGGAAACGCCAAGGAGAGACCTTACCACTCTCCCCCTCCCTTCCTCCCCATCCTTGCTTCCCTCTGAGAATTACTGTAAGAAAAATCTCTTTCTATTTCCTAGCTGATCACATAGATTTAAAACAAAAAATGAACAAAAGCATAACTGCTTTATTAGTGATGGCTGCATCATTCTGGACTCTGATAAATTTAAGTGGTTTCCATTCACAGAACAGAGCTACTGTTTTGGGTTGAATTTTGCCCCTCTATATCCAAAAGGTATGAAGTCTGAACCCCTAGTATTTCAGAATGTGATTTTCTGTAGAAACAGGGTCTGTACAGTGGTAATAAAGTAAAAATGAATCTATTAGGCCCTAATCAAAAATGACTGGTGTCCTTGAAAACCGGGGGTGGGGGGGCAGAGTTTGGACATAGTAACAAACACAGAGAGAAGACAGATCTGTGAGGATGAGGAACTGAAGTGACTGATCTATAAAAGCAAGGAATGCCAAACACTGCCAGGAAAGCACCAGAAGCCAGGAAGAGGAAAGGAGGGATTAGTTCTCTAAAGGTTTCAGGGGGAGCAGGGCCCGCTGACCTTGATCTCAGACTTCTATAGCCTCCAGAACTATGAGTCAGTACACTTCTGCTGTTCTGAGGCACCCCGTTTGTGGTACTTTGTTACAGAAACCATAGCAGAAAAATACAGCTACTAAGAACCATTCATGCACACAGTGAAGAGAAGGGCTGCCGGCAGAGAGATGAAAAGCTGGGCTGGGGAAGCCACGTAACTCCCTGTACCTCATCCTTAACCTGTTAGCACACTGGGCCACGGCAAAGACTGAGATCATCTATGTAGCCGACTTAGCACAGGAGTGCTGGCGGCGCCACTCAGCAAGAGAGACAGACGCAGACCAAGGTATCAGAAGGGACAATGAGCTGATGGGGTCGGGACAAGATGCCACTGACCAAAGAGAAAGGACAACCTGCAATGGAGCAGGAGCCGTGAGAAAGGACAGAAAGGCAGAGCACCGAGAAATACTCAGGAGGCGAAACTCAGAGGCTGCGGAGCCTGACAAATGTGGAGAGTGAGCTCTCCTCAGCACGAGGAAACCGTCAATTATGAAAACTCAGGAACAGACGGAACAAGGCTTTACCTTCGGGAAGCCATTAAGTCATTATCTATGATCCCAATCTCCAGAACATTCAGTACCTCAACAAGAAAATTAAGGTTTCCAGGGCACAAAAATAATAGAGGGTTTAGATCCCAGAAGTCTGACTTTTCTACCTTGGCATGCTAAAATTTTGTTTTTCCAAAGGTAGGTAACATCTTGGTACTTGAAGTTACTTTCTAAGAAACAAATGAACATAGTGGATGTGCATGGAGGTTCCCTGAATGGCTGCAAGATTCCTTTGACTGAACCAACTCAACACATGAACACTTATACCAGGCACCCCAACAATTTAGTTCAACTGATTTTTTGTTGGTTTCCTTTCCACCTGCAAATAGTCAAATGTTGTTTCAAACAGAAATTAAGAGTCAGACCATTACAGCTCTGCCATTTACTAGGTGTGACCTTGCAGAGGTAAATAAACATGCTTCAATTTCTTTATCTGAAAACAAAAACAGGACCTACCCTTATATAATGATTGAATGACATGATGTGGCAAAGCACTTATTACTTACACAGAACATAACAGAATTTCAGCTGGTATCATCAAGTGTTATATTCTTCCTTCTGTACAACCTAGGCCAGTAGCTTAAACTTTAATGTGCAGCAGAATCACCTGGAAGGCTTACAAAAATATAGTTGACTAGATCCCACTCCCAAATTTCAGGTATGGGTTACAGCTTGAGAATTTGTATTTCTAGGACTTTGAGAACCACTAATCCAGTCAGTAGCTTTTTTGCTATATGACTCTCTTCTCCCTACTCACAGCTCCAGCCACTCACCTGCTTGTCTACTAATATGCTCAGAAACAAGAACTTCTGTGGAAAAGTGAAGGTTACATATCTATATCCAACCTCTCAGACAACTCATTTTTTAAACAAATATTTATTTATTTGGCTGTGCTGGGTATTAGTTGTGACATGCGGAATCTTAGTTGAAGTCTGTAGGATCTTTAGTTGTGGTATGTGGGATGTAGTTCTCTGACCAGGGATCAAACCCAGGCCCCCTGCATTGGGAGTGCAGAGTCTTGGCCACTGGCCACTCAGCCAATTCTAACACAAGGCCAGACATTTTTTTATTAGCTTTCTAGGTGCCTCACTTTATGAACTCAAAAACATCTGCAATCCACAATGGTTTTCTACTTTTTAAACCCCTCTTTCCATCCCGTCCAACCTGGCACTCACCTGAATGCAACTTTGGCTAGCTCGTTACTATACATGTTGCTTCCCCAAGGAGGCTGTGAGCTCCTCAGACAGAGCAGCTGGGTTGTCAGTATTTTCTATGTATTCAGAAAAAAATGCTTTCAGATTTATCAAGACTGTACTAAACCAAGCAGACCCTGTTAACACTGCCACTTGACTCATTCACTCATTTGAAGAAGACCCTGGGTGGCCAAAATTGATATAGTCCTCTGTCTCAGAATTAAAAAAAAAAAAAAAACACAAACTGTTAACTGGGTCCTAATAAGCAACTATATAATAATTGAGTGTTAAGTAGGTTAGCACTTTCCTGGTGGCTCATAAAGAGTCCACCTGCAATGCAGGATATGCAGGTTCAATTCCTGGGTTGGGAAGACCCACTGGAAGGACATAACAATCCATTCCAGTATTCTTGCCTGGAGAATCCCATGGACTGAGAGCCTGGTGGGTTATGGTCCACAGGGTCGCACAAAGTCAGACACAACTGAAGTGACTGAGCACACACGCACACAATTAGGTTAGCTCTATTCTAAGCATCTTACCTGGATAAACTCAGGTAATCTTCCTAACATCTTTATAAATGGGATTGTTATACGTATTTTGCAGATGAGAAGACTGAGGCTCACAAAATAACTTCCCAAGAACATGCACCTGGAATATGACTGAGCTAAGATTTAAAAGCAAGCAATCTGGTTCTAGAGCCCTTGACAATGATGCTACACTGCCTCTCAAAAAGCTCAAGACACTGATATATTACACTAGAATGCCAGGAAACAGAAAGGTAAATCCTTACAGATTTCTTTTAAAAAAGAGGAGAAAGAAAGGGAGGAGGAAAGCTCACATAGATGAACAGAGTCATCCAGCTGAGACCAGCCTAGACTGGATGAACCCCACAGATGTGTGAGAAACATCTACTGTTGTAAAAGGTTTTATGGTTATTTGTTACCCAACAAAAGCTAACAGATACAGTATCTGATTTACTATATGGAGAAATCATAATGAACAAGGAAAAACACTTCCAAAAAATAGGATGGGTCAATTAAAATGCAACTCATCAAAATCAGGCATTTATAGAATAATAGCAATTAATCTGTACATAAAGGTTATTAGAATCATACTTCTGTTTTTCTATAGAAATTCTAGCAAAAGCAAGTAAAATGCCAAAGGCTAATTCTTCATGACAGCATTTGAATTCCTGCCCCAACCATGAGAGATGAGACTGTAACTGAATGGCTGGTTTTAACACCTCTGGGCCCCAAGCACGGAAATCAACAAGCTTGCTTTCTCTGACAGATGGCTTCCCCATCTCACAGATCCTGCAGAAAGACAGGGATTTTGAGATCTTGGTAGAGATCACTGCTAGAAAGGAAGATGTCTCTAAAATTTCCAATATTCAAGTAAGACTGAGGTAATTGACTACTTTGAAGAATTTGCCAGATGACATGGCTGGGATGAGATCCCAAGAACATAACAGTTTCAGCAAAGTAAAAGACAGAAGCATCAGATTTCAAGACCAAACAGAGTCTTAAAATCACCTGCCAGTCTACACACCTAAAAAGCACCCCCAAAATTTATAAATTAGAAAGGGGGCACAAAACACTCTTAACCAAAAAGGGAGGTCATTTTCTTTCAGTTTCTTATAGTTTTATTATTTACTAAAGAAAATCACTCTTTCTTAAGTTTAGGTAATCTTATTTGTAAAGAGACTCAAGGCTTGGGTCTAAATCAGAGGTTGTATTTGGCTGAAAAGTTCAAGATCTACAAGTCTTAAATTGAGGCCCATAAGCTCATTTGGTGTCTCCACGGATTCTGAACACTAGTGCCACAGCAGGGTTAGAGCAGTACCACATCTCCACGAAAGCACAACCACACTGGGGTGGCCTAGGCTACAGCCAGACTTGTTCCCACACTGTAGCCCTACATGCCCAATGGGATGTTCCACCCAAGTCCAAATCCCATCACAGTCCCTCAGGGCAATCTCCATGCCTCTTGGTTATAACAAACCTAGAGTGAGAAGCTGCTTCCTATCCCATCTTTTTAATACATGTCTGGGATAAGAAGGGGCTTTGAACTTAGGGGACAAAAAGAGAAAGGTTTCCTTGGGTTACTGCTACCTTTGGGTTATTTGAGGGAGAGAGGAAGCGGGGGCGGGGGTGGGGGCTCGGGGGCAGGCAGAGGAAGGAGAAATGGTTAAGAGATCATCACTACTGTTTGACAAGATGAAAACTCCTCCCCTCCCTTACCCTGACTTGGAAATGAACCAGCCCAACACAGAGTGGCTAGAGGCGGGAATCCCTGCAGAACATTCTCCGTCCATGTCTATGGTTGCACTGGGAAGAATCCAGGGTACTCGGGTGACAGCACTGTTACTAGCAGAAGGCACAGCATCAGGGCTGGTCAGTCTCTTCACTAACAACTTAAGAGCATTTTGTCATCTAGGTAACTGGAATGAGGGGTGGGGATGAAAGTCTGGGTACACGGCAAAACCCTGAGCATCTACTTACAGGCTCCACGAACTCAAACATCTTCCTCTCTTGGACTTCCTGCACCTTGAAGACATACTCCAGGGATACTTCATAGAAATGCTGCCGAACCAGGTCCACTTGGCTGTCTGCCTACAAGCAAAATGGGATTTCAGAGAAAAAGCAGGTCACTATCTGAGGAGAGAATTCAGTAAGCAGCTCCCCACCCCCACCCCCCGCCAAGAAAAGATCTCCAGAGATGGTTTTTAAAAACAAATCCAGTAGCATGAAGCAGAAATCAGAATAATGTTCATGGTTAACTGAGCGCTAAGTTTGGGCCAGGCACCGTACCCATAGCTGTACATCATTATCATATTCAATACTCACAAATTTTAGTTATTTAATCCTCATTATAATCCTAAAAAGAAGATAGCATCCTTACCCCTAACTTACAGGAAGTAAGTGAAATCGGCTAACATTAAGGAACCTGACAGAGTTGGTACAAGACAGAGCTGGGACTTCTGTCCTGGCTGCTCTTTCTCCAAGACCGCTGTACATCCTTAAACCTCTAGATTCTACCACCTTCCCACAGTGGGGCAGACCTATGTTCCATGAAAGACAGAATTTTAAAGAGAAAAAGAAAATGTGCAGGACCATCCTCATTCATCCATCCTAATGAACAAAACAAGCTGATAGGAGACAGGAGACCTCAGAACAGAACATTTTCACTCATCCCAAACACCTTCTTTGGACAAGGATGAACTACTAGTTTATAGCATAATTGGGCTTCCCTGGTGGTTCAGGTAGTAAAGAATCCACGTGCCTATGCAGGAGACCTGGGTTCCATCCCTGGGACAGGAAAATCCCCTGGAGAAGAAAATGGCAACCTACTCCAGTATTCTTGCCTAGGAGATCCCACGGACAGAGGAGCCTGGTGAGCTACAGGCCACGGGGTCGCAAAACAGTCAGACATACTTACACTAGCAGTTGGATGTGTTAAGTCCCTCCTGTCCTTGATTTCTCGTGGTGCAAATCCAACACACTTACACCAGGGACCCACCTACTTCTCCCCACACCCTGGACGAACAACAAAGCAGAGTAATTACATTGCTCCCTCAAAGCCTCACCTCCAACTCTTGCAGGTCATGAGACCTGGAAAGACCCACAACTGGGTACAAGTAGGTCAGTGATCTGGGATCCAGAACCCAGGGGAGAAAATGACTGTGTGGAGCAGCAAGAAGCTGTGCTGAGAAGTGCCTCAACTATCACTACAATGCTCTTAAACTTTCAACAGTGTGACGGAAGTCAGTTCATTCTCTCAAAACAGGTAATTACACTGAAAGCACATTTCAGTGACAAAAGAATAATATGATTTTAAAAAAACAAAAGTGGATATCCTGCTAATAGGAAACAAAATCACTCTTTTCTTTAGAAATAAAGGTGTCAGGTGTCATTCGATGTCAGCTTTACAAAGACAAAGCTCCCAAAGGAGTATTTCTTTCAGCGTTCCTTTGTCAAGATTCCTGCAGAGCCAACCTGGGACAGACCTTTCAATTTATTAGGTATTACTAACAAACATATGGTATTGCTAACCTTGTATCTTAAGGACTTGGCAAATTGTTCATTAATTCATTGGGGTGCACAGCATAATGAGGAAAAGAGATAAATAATTGTGTAAATTTAAAAAAAAATTTACAAACTCTGGAAAAGGACAAGGTGCTATGAAACAATCCAAAAGATCCATTCAAGTCTCCTGCTAGTGACTTCCTCCCAGGGCAACTTCCATATTAATACAGAGAAGGTCCCAGGTCCCTAAGTTTAACTACTGCACGAATCAACATGAAGGGCTAAGCCTGTGGGCGGGCATTTCCTAAGCCTCCAAGCAGGAGAGTTGATGTCTGAGCACTGACCGAGCTTTATTTGGAGGACAGAGTTCAAAAAGTGCCATACTAAGCCCCTCTCCAGGGTGGCCAGCAAGGGTCTACACACTTCCGCCTGGGCTCCTGCCAGCTAAGGTCTGTAAGTCCCTGCAGTTCTTGATTTCTTGCAGTGCAAATCCAACACATTTACACCTGGGGACACATCTACTTCCCCTGACTTCCCCCACAACCTGAATACATCCTCCCTGCTTGGACTCGCCAAGTGAGGCTGCAACAGAAAAAAGGGCCTTTCTGAAAAGCCGCAAGTTAGGCCAGGCTGGAGGCGCCAGGAGGAAAGTCCTCCGAGAAGAGTAGAGCCCAGCATCAGTGAGAGTGCCAGGAGAGCAACCACTTGGATGGAAATCGCAGCTCTATCATTTTCTACCCGGTGGGGCCTGCTATAGCCACTTATCCTCTCTGGGTCTCTTCCCCACACCTGGAGACTGGGGATGGTATGACTTGCCCTTGCTCTGAGCAGAGCTGTTTCGAAGAGAAAATGAGTTAAAGGATGTAAACAATTTGAAAACCAGGATGTGTTCCGTGTACACTGAGTGTTACCACCAGGGAAGTGGAAGCAGATGGGCTTCAAGCCCTGCTCCTACCCTAAACCAGCCACATTTTCTCTGGGCAGTGGCAATCCTCTTCTCACTGGCCTCTCTGCTTTCTTTCTCTGCCCCCACAATCCAATATCTATCCAGCAGCCAGAACACTTTCCCTAAAATCTCCATCAGATACTTTCACAGCTCCTTCGATGCCTTCCCCTGGGCCCTACTATGGTCTGAAGACCCTGAGGGGCCAGCCCACCCCTCTCTCTCCCCCTCAATCCCTCCCTCTCCTGTTCCAACTGGGGCTTCTAGCCACCCTCCAATACTCTAAACTTTCTTTCCATGCAACTTCTGCACTTGTTCCACCTGCCTGAAAACCCCTCTCCATAGATAGATGTTCAATTTTTTGAACTTTAATGCATTCTGAGAAATATCTTTTGCACGTGACTCAATAAACATACATATATAAGTAAATGCAACACATTTTCATCTTTTTCACTCTATTCCATCCTACTCTACTCTATTTCATGATCCAGTAACTCAGATCTTATGACACATGCACAATTTAAAGGACACTGTCCTAGCTTTTAACCCATGTTGCTCCTTTCTCTTCCCCTGGTCTCATTTCAAATGTCCCCTCTTTAGAGAAGCCTGAGTTGACATTATTTTAGGAAGGTTACCCCGAGGAGTTTATCTCCCAATTTATTTCCTTATCACTACATGAAATTCTTATTTATTCTTCTTTCATGTACTTCCTAGTAGAATATAAAGTCAATGAGAGTAAAGACCTTGTTCCACTTTTCCATTTCAGACCCCAGAAAGGGGCCTGGCCCATAGCAAACATTCAACTTGATGCTTGAGGAACAAAAGAATTGATCTCTATGTGAACACCAGTGACCCAGCACTAAGAAGTAAAGTGCAACAGAATGCATTTCCAAAGGAAAAGGGAAAAAAAAATCCCAAGTGGAACGGTATGTTCCTCCTGCCAATGACCCTCTCATCTGGGCCACTGAATTCACCCACACCCTTAGCAGCTGCTACAATGGAGTCAAAAGCCAGAGTCCAACCCCTGGGCAGGCAGTTCTGTTACTCGAGAAGCTGTCAGCCTACCAGCTTGTCTAAGACCCACCAACCACTCTGTGCTTCCTGGAAAAGAGACATTCTCCTCGATTCTAAGTTTCTACCATACATTTCACTCCCCACAACACACTCAACTCCTGAACAGACTTTTCACAGAAGCATCCAATGAATCATTTGTCCAAGCAATTTCTATCTTAAAAGCCAGCTTCTGAGCCACTGAAGACACTGACATTTTAAAGTCATCCACTAGATGGCAGCATTGCTTCACGTCACTACCCTGTTATTTCAGCCACCAGAGACAGGGGATGGGCTAGAATTTACAACTATTCAGGTCAGGCCTACAAGCAAGGAACAATTCTGGATCATCAAAGGAAATAGATTTCATTAAATGTGTAGCAGGAGATTAATAAGATTGTTAAAAGCTGATTTTTTAATAAATGGGAGGAAAATCATCACTAAATAGCTGGAAGACATTGAATAAATCACTTGACCTCTGCAAGGACCTCAGTTCCTGCAAATGGAATTCTAAGAGGTTTAACCAGAGGATCACCACGGTCCCTCCTGCTCTCCGTTTCCACTATCTTGACACTCACATTAAATAACAATGGCTGGCAGGCAGCCCAGCAACATCCTTCCTTTCCAAGATGGAGAGACAAGAGCTTACTGGGTTAAGGGAAAGGTCTCCAGAGTCAGGAGCCAGGGTTCAAATCCTTGCTGACTAGCAATGGGCAGGCTATTTAACATCTTTGAGCATCAGCCGCCCCCTATGTAAAAGAGAGAGAATCCATCTGTACCTCATAGGGTGGTTGTGAGAAGCTGAGAAGATTCCATGTGAAGTGCTAGTATATAAATATGTATTCAATAAACAACCGCCACTATTATTGTTGCTGTTGCTAGTAAAAACATTATCATCATTATTATTATGAGATTTTTATTCAATTTAATTCAGCTAAGGTATAAAAAGCAGTGCTTGAGAAGAGACCAGGACTTGCAACAAAGACCGGCAGCCTAATCCTTGCCTTCAAAGTACTTAGGAAGTGTAAATGGGTAAAAGACAGGACTGTAACAACAACAACAACAAAAAAAACCATAATGCAAAAATATCCACTAAGATAAGCAGATAAATACTAGCAAAGTCAGAGCTGCAGACAGAATGTTTGCCCTCCTCACCGCTACATTAGTAACTAATCCCCAGTGTGATAGCATTTGGGGTGGAGCCTGTGGGAAGTAATTATGAGCTTAGAGTCTTGAGCATAGAATCCTTTTTTTAAAGTCTTTATTAAATTTGTTACAATGTTGCTTCTGTTTTAACTTTTGTTTTTTAGGCCAGGAGGCATGTGGGATCTTAGCTCCCCAACCAGGGATCAAACCCACACCTCCTGCACTGGAAAGGTGAAGTCTTAACTACTGGACCTCGAGGGAAGTCCCTCTGTAGAGTTTCTACGCAAGTTGCCAAGGAGACTAGCTCACCCTACCCATTTTGCCTTGTAAGGACACAGCCAGAAGATAGCCATCTATGAACCAGAAAGCAGGCCTCACCAGACACCAAATCTGCCACCACCCAGATCCTGGACTTTCCAATATCCAGAACTGTGAGAAACAGATTTCTGTTGTTTATAAGCCACCCAGTCTATGGTATTCCATCACAACAGCCAGAACATAAGGCATCAGGAAAAATGCCATCCAATGTGGGAACAGGGTAGGGGGAGGATCAGGCCAGTTATAGGGATAACACTTTACATTTGTGTGGCAGCTGTAATTTACCTTCTCATACATGAAGTAGTCAGGACAGGTGATTTATGAGCACTTTACAAAAGAACTAGAGCCCAGAGAGACCAAGTACTTTCCCAGGTCACACAGTCAACTATGTGGTAGAGCAAGCCTTGAAATGAAGGTATCTCTGTCAGTCCAGTGTTCTGGTCCCCATACTGCTATCTCAGTTCAGTTCAGTCGCGCAGTCCTGTCCGACTCTCTGCGACCCCATGGACTGCAGCACTCCAGGCTTCCCTGTCATTCACCAACTCTCAGAGCTTACTCAAACTCACGTCCATCAAGTCAGTGATGCCATCCAACCATCTCATCCTCTGTCATCCCCTTCTCCTCCCACCTTCAATCTTTCCCAGCATCAGGGTCTTTTCCAATGAGTCAGTTCTTCACCATCAGATGGCTGAAGTATTGGAGCTTCAGCTATCTCAGGGAGAGATGCTATTGGCATGGCCCTGAAAGAAAATGTGGGACTTGTCCCAGACCAACTCATCAGGGTCCAAGCATGGGCAGAACAGCCTGGGAGGAGAAGCAGTCTCACTGCGTGGACGTCATGCATGTGCATACGTGTGCATCTTCCAATGTCAGTAGGTGCCAGAGCAACTATTCACTCACTCATTCACTCATTTCAAAGCAAAGAGTTCGGAGCACACCACTTCCTAACTGGGATATGTAACAAATCCTAGTGGGGAGGGGAGTGGCCTCTACCATCTGCTGACTATTCCTGATCTTTCAGCCTTTAACCCCATCACCTTCATGTGAACAGAAGTACTGGCATGGAATTTGCTCTTAAAGAAAGGAAACTGAAGAATGCAAGCTAGCTCAAAAGCCTCAGGTTCTCTTTTAGCACACACCTGAGACAGTTCAAGCAAATTTTTAAGAGTTAAGTAGGAGGATATTCATGTAGCCAAGCATGGAGTTACACTAGCAAACTGCCCTGTCTCTCCAAAATGTATACCCCCTCCCCATGCAAATCTTCATGAACTAAATAAAAATGGTCACAGCTCCAAGGTCACAAAGCCAACTTTTCTTTCCAAGTTAACCACTCTTTAAAAAGACCTTATGCAAAAAAAAAGGGGGGGGGCACCTCAAAGAATTTACTTTTTTGAAACAAGGTAACATCCACACAAAATACATGAGAGACAACAAAATACTGCTTTAAAAAAAAAAAAAGACTAATGTCAAGTGGTGGTTGGATTTTTTTTTTTTTCATTTCACATTAAGGAAGGATGACCAAAGGGTTTCAGATACTAACCTTTCAAATCAGTGGTGTAGGGAGAAAGTCAAAAGGCAAGGTAAGGGAGTGCAGAATCAAAGTCAAGGGTGAGAGAAACAGGAAAACAGATCTCAACTTGAAAAGAAGAAGCAAAGTCTAGTGATTAGAGTGATCTTGACCAGCTGCATGTTCCTTGCCGTGGGCACGATGGACAGCACACAGTGTGAGCTGCAGTTTGAGAAGGGACAAAGGCCATGTGGGCAGCAAGCATGGAAGGAAGGATCAGAATGAAGCTCCTGGCTTCTGAGATCCCTTGCAACCCTAGGGTGTTCCAGCAAAGAGTAACCAGCACATATCCACAGTACCATGGAAACGTTAAAACACTTTCTTCAGGACACTAGTAAAGTCACTTACCTCCTGAAGCTGAGACTCTTTCTTCTTGGAAGACAAATTCAAGTGCTTTTCTAAGATGCCACAATACTTCTCTGTCTCCTTGTCATACTTCTTTTTGGCCTCCTGGCAAAAAAAAAAGAGGAAAGGAAAAAGAAAAAAGAAAAATAAGATGTTCCAGGAATGGAAGCAACCCAGGTCAGACTTTTACTGTTCATCTTCATGGGTTCATCATTCCCTTAAGACCCAGAAATGTGGCAGACCACCCAGCTCCTACTCTTCCAATAATGCCCATGAAACCAAACAACCACACATCAATATCCTGAATGTTTTGAGGGTCTACCATAGAGGACTCACTACAATACCAGAAACGAGGTAAATGCCAGTATTTCAAAGTGGCAGAGTCAGGACTCCACCTTCTAAAAACTTCAGTTGTAAGATAGAAATTTCTAGTTAATAACTCACAAGGATGTTCAAAGCCAAAGGAAGAAGGAAAGTTATCTGTAAAGCTAATCCCCAAACAGGAAGGTGTAAGTACACCTTAAAGGGGACATGTCCAAACTAATGGTAGATCAAGCTTTAACCATGTTCAAAAAGCAATGTTTAATTTGGAGATCTAAACATCCTTGATGCAATAATATCACATGTGGGTCTTCAAGGTAAGGAATAATTCAAAACAAAGAAGATGTTATCTTCCCAGATGTGTTCACTGCAGCAGCATTTATAATTACAAAAAAAAAAAGCAACAGTAACAGTGCTGCCTAAGAATAGAATCTGGGATAATTAAAATATGAGGCAATCATTAAACATAACTTAGAAGGCTAGCTAGTCATATGGAAGGATGCTCACAATGTAATAAAAAGTAGTGACAGCATGATACAAACTTGTTGCATCCTACAAACAATGTGTCTACCTACAGACAAACATTAGGTGGGAAGATACTTCAGTGAAAATACTTGAGATAGGAAATGGGATAATGAGTGATGTTTTCCTCCATTAGGGAGATGTCTATTATCCTATATGATTGCTTTCAAAATAAAAAATATACATGTACAAAAAAGATCTTCACGACCCAGATAATCACAATGGTGTGATCACTCACCTAGAGCCAGACATCATGGAATGTGAAGTCAAGCGGGCCTTAGAAAGCATCACTATGAACAAAGCTAGTGGATGTGATGGAATTCCAGTTGAGCTATTTCAAATCCTGAAAGATGATGCTGTGAAAGTGCTGCACTCAATATGCCAGCAAATTTGGAAAACTCAGCAGTGGCCACAGGACTGGAAAAGGTCAGTTTTCATTCCAATCCCTAAGAAAGGCAATGCCAAAGAATGCTCAAACTACCGCACAATTGCACTCATCTCACACGCTAGTAAAGTAATGCTCAAAATTCTCCAAGCCAGGCTTCAGCAATACATGAACCGAGAACTTCCAGATGTTCAAGCTGGTTTTAGAAAAGGCAGAGGAACCAGAGATCAAGTTGCCAATATCCACTGGATCATTGAAAAAGCGAGAAAGTTCCAGAAAAACTTCTATTTCTGCTTTATTGACTACACCAAAGCCTTCGACTGTGTGGATCACAATAAACTGTGGGAAATTCTGAAAGAGATGGGAATACCAGACCACCTGACCTGCCTCTTGAGAAACTTATATGCAGGTCAGGAAGCAACAGTTAGAACTGGGCATGGAACAATAGACTGGTTCCAAATAGGAAAAGGAGTACGTCAAGGCTGTTTATTGTCACCCTGCTTATTTAACTTATATGCAGAGTACATCACGAGAAACGCTGGGCTGGAAGAAGCACAAGCTGGAATCAAGATTGCTGGGAGAAATATCAACAACCTCAGATATGCAGATGACACCACCCTTATGGCAGAGAGTGAAGAGGAACTAAAATGCCTCTTGATGAAAGTGAAAGAGGAGAGTGAAAAAGTTGGCTTAAAGCTTAACATTCAGAAAACTAAGATCATGGCATCTGGTCCCATCACCTCATGGGAAATAAATGGGGAGACAGTGGAAACAGTGTCAGACTTTATTTTTTGGGGTTCCAAAATCACTGCAGATGGTGACTGCAGCCATGAAATTAAAAGACGCTTACTCTTAGAAGGACAGAGATGACCAACCTAGACGGCATATTAAAAAGCAGAGACATTACTTTACCAACAAAGGTCCGCCTGGTCAAGGCTATGGTTTTTCCAGTGGTCAAGTATGGATGTGAGAGTTGGACTGTGAAGAAAGCTGAGTGCTGAAAAATTGATGCTTTTGAACTGTAGTGTTGGAGAAGACTCTTGAGAGTCCGTTGGACTGCAAGGAGATCCAACCAGTCCATCCTAAAGGAGATCAGTCCTGGGTGTTCATTGGAGGACTGATGCTGAAGCTGAAACTCCAGTATTTTGGCCACCTCATGCAAAGAGTTGACTCACTGGAAAAGACCCTGATGCTGGGAGGGATTGGGGGCAGGAGGAGAAGGGGACGACAGAGGATGAGATGGCTAGATGGCATCACCAACTCGATGGGCATGAGTTTGAGTAAACTCCGGGAGCTGGTGATGGACAGGGAGGCCTGGCAGGCTGCGATTCATGGGGTCGCAAAGAGTCAGGCATGACTGAGCGACTGAACTGAACTGAAACATTGTATTAGCTCTCCCAAAGTCACTGAGTTTCTATTCCCTATTTTACAGATAAGAAAACTTAGATGCAGGAGGTTAACTCCTGTAAAAAGTTCCAGAGAGTGACAGAGCTGGAGTCTGAGCCCAAGACAAGCTGCTTTTAAGCCCACACCTGGACATACTGTCGTAGGTGGTTTCTCTTCCCTCCACATTTCAGTGGAGATGGCAGGCAAGGGGGCTGGAGGAAGGTCCACCATGGCCTAATAAAAAGGATCAAATGCACTAACTGGGTGCATCATTCCTGCTTTTGACTTTCGGGGATTCCACAGGAGATATTTTTCTGCAACTCCAAGGCTTATAGGAGGAGAAAAAAATTTGTTGCCAGATAAGGAAGCTGAGACCCCTCTTCATTTAATGATGATGTAATGAGCAAGCACTCTGTGTAAGGATCTTTCAGGCACTGGAAATACAAGGCAGAAAAGGCCCCACCCTCATGGTAGGGGTGTTCAAGCAGAAGGAGAAACACAATTAACCAGTAAACAAACAGCATGATTTCAGACTGCCACAGGTCCATGAAGGAGACAGGGTGTAGTCCCAAAGATTCTTGCAGACAAATGTTCTGGAGAGGTCTCCCTAGGGAGGGGAAGTATGATCAAAGATCTGCTCACCTAGTGAGGGGGAGGGGACTGATAAATGCAGATGGGCAGAACACCCAGAGCCTACGCATGAAGGACACACCAAGAAACCATCACCTGAAGCACTGACAAGCACCCTTGGCATCAGAACACCATTTATCTGGTCAACACCAAGACTCTAAGCCTCACAAAATGGGCAGAATCATCATTTACCCATTTGAGCTGGCAAGTGTCCATGTCTACAAATCTGAATTTTGTTTGAAAGCCTTCCATACATGAAAAAAACATGCAGAAGCAAGTGGAGACAAAGCCAGAGGACACATTACTCCTTCAAACGAGGAAAGGTACAGACAAAACACTTGAGTCAATGCTTTTCCTTCATAGAAATCTAGTGACTTGGAGCTGCAATTCCAACTCTAATTAATACTCCTACAGCCCTTTCATCAGCCTTGTCAGCAACCCCCCAAAGAGAACCCTGTGCCAGCACAGTCCAGCTGACCAGAGGTGAGAAGAGGCCTGGGAACATGAGTCACTGACATTCTGTGACTTTCTGGCAACTTGAGCCTCCACATTCCATGCTCAAGAGGACAGCCAGAACTCAAGGGAACAGGAAGCAGTTCCTGTCCTGAGAAAACAGCAAGATCTCTGGGGGCATAACTCCACTAAGATTGAGATAATGTTCTTTAGACAGGAAGGTAGTAAGACTCCCTCACTCAGGTACCAAGATGCTATTCACTGACTTCCAGAGGGTACACAATATTTGGCAAAATGGATCCAAGACAGAGTTAGGATCCTGGTAATGATTCCCAACTCCGTACAAACCACTGTCCCTCCAGGACTCAGTTCCCTGATCTATAAATTAAGGATGACTAGCCCAGATAATGCCTCCAGTTTTCCCTTTCAGCTCAGAGACTAACAAAAAAGCATTAAGAACACCCACCCCATTGTAGGACTGTCAGGAATAAATGAGATAAGTCATATCCAGTGCTTGGCAGAGCACGTGGCACATGGAAAGTGCTTGATAGAATTCCGTGCTGATGATAGTGGTGGCAGTCAGGGTAGTGGCAGTGATGATGAGGTCCAGCATCTAAACCTACCTTCTTCTTATCAAAGCAGCACTCGCTTTCCATGTCCCACATCCCAGGAAGGAAAACCTTCACCAGCACCCACCGCAATGTGCAAGATCATATGCTTATTTACACCATTCTGTACAGGGCCTTTCTCCTGGCATGCCACAAGCAAGGCAACTACATCTGCATTTTATTCTCCACCAAACAGCAAAGTGGAGCACAGTGCCAGGCATGCAGCAGGCTCTCATCGTATCTTATGAATGAACTGTGCATTGGAACAGAAGAGCTAATACCAAATGACCTTATGACAGCATTCTGAGCACTTTATAGGGGTTCACTGATTTCTTCTTCATAATAACTCTGTAAGGCGAGCACTATCATGATCCCCATTTCTCAGTTTAGGAAAAAGAAGGTCAGTAATCGCCCCATGTTTATATGTGAACAGCACAAACGGGATTTGGGCTCAAGCAGCCCCACTTTGAACCACCTTCTCTGACGTCTATTGTAGTTTCACTGGAGAACCCAGCTTTGGCTGTAAGAAAAATCAACTCCCCCAAACTCAGGTATCTAAAAGTAAGGCCATGGCTAAGCCAAGCACATACGATCTACCCTACCCCAAAGCAGCCATATTAGCACAAGAATGCTCCTCCTCATAACCTTCGCTCCCTGCCACCACCCCCAGCACTTTAACTTCTGCTTCTTCAAGTAGCAACAGGTTGTTATAGCAACCAAACTGGCACCAGAGTGGGGAGGAGGATGGGTAATTTAAGCATCACATGGGCAGAGCTGGGAAACTTCCACTTGGCCGCTACAGAGAACTTGCTGGCTCTGAGGTATCCCTGAATTTGCTCCCTCACGGCCTAGTAGAGGGACTGTTGTTTCTTTGTGTTCCTGTAAGTGTACATAATTCTGTGATATACATGTACAGTGTGGAGGTGGGGACGAGGAACAGATATATAGAAAAAAATAAATAACAAAGGGGGAGGTATGGGAAATCATCCCCAATTTCACCACATGGTTCTTTGACAAGAATGAGAGAGGAGAGTGTGTGTGAGGAGAAACATGTTTTGGTGAGTGACTGTTTTCTACAAATTTTTTTATTCTTGTGTTTCTCACCATCTATAGCTCTCTGAAAAGGACCTGCTCCTGTCATGACCATCACTGACATCAGCCCAAAAGAAGCGTGCTCAGACTTCCCCTCCTCCTCCATGGTAACCATGGTAATCCCCAAAGCTGCACCGAGGGAAGAGGCCAGAGTGAGAGGCATCTGTGCTTGGCAATTGGAGAAGTGACTACTGGAAAGATGACTCAATACATGGGTCTGCTCTGCCTCTGCCTCAAAGCTCTTTAGGACCCTCCAGAGCCACTTCCGTGTTGGTAGGACAGGGAGGCAGAGGCCCCAAGGCCACAAAAGAGAAGGTGCTCATGGGGTCTGCATCAGTGAGAGCTCAGGGAGGGGCACTCAGCATTTTCCCATCTGTCCCTGGGCCTGTTCAAAGGCTTGGACAAAAGCTTAGCAGGATAAGACTTCCTTTAAATTATACATTCCTGAACATATGATACAATACCAATGAGCTCCAATTTCTTCATAAATGAAAACTGTTAAATTGGATGGGAAGTGCTGGAAAACTGGAAGAAAAATCTTGGCCACGGTCCTTCCTTCAAATTAGGGTCGTCCATCCCTCTGAATAACGGTGACTGACCAGAATGTCTCTTTCACGCCCTAATCATATTCATTTTCAGAAAGCAGATGCACTTAGTTGGGGGTGGAAGAGACCACCCCTAGTTATACTTCAGCTCTGTTTTCCCTACCTACAAGCAGGCACCTCTCAAGGCCATTTCACAACTGAGTAAAATCTACACCGTCTCAACAAGAGGGTGACATTGCCCAAGATCCCCTGCAGGTGGCGCAAGGGGCTGCAAGCCAAATGACTTCAGTTCCGTTAAAAAAAAAAAAAAGGAAGAAAACCTTGAAAATCCTTTTGCTTTCATTGATTCCAACGAAAACATCTTGCCCATAGGTGGCCTCTAACACTCTACTGAAGGTCAACCTGGCTAGGGCTGTCTAATGATTTATCAGAGGGCAGGAAACCCAGGAGAATCCACTTTTAAAAAAATGAGTAAGGTTAGAATCAGCCAAGTTTCAGCGACCATCTTTCCAGATCAGTGGTAACAAATGCTGACCTCTGGGTTGAAGCGGTCCCACTTTTTGACTTGCACAGCATGCAATATATATTTTTTAATTATGTGCCCCAATTTTTTAAAGCCAGGAAATTTCACATAAAACATTGACTTTTCAGTTTCTCTTGAAAAAATGCAAAGATCTAACAACAAAGGGCTCAATTTCACACACAGTAAAAATGGGCTAAGAAGAGGGTCCTCACATACATAGGTGCCTATTTGCAACCCCTGTCCTAGGCCTCAGTCCTGGACCTCTGCAAACAATACAATTCCATAGTGTCCAAACACACAGGTAACTACTCACGCAAAGGAGGCACGGTTTCCACCTCTGGATGATTTATGAACTAGCACAACACAATTAGATATCAAAACACTACAATGACTGATCTGAGGTTGACCTCTCAGTCTTATTTCAGACACTAGGTGTTGTATTTTCCAGACCTCCTGTCCTGAAATCCAAGAAGGCTTGCAAAATTCTCACCTTGGCAGCCCCAATCTGCTCCTTTCGAAACTTCTCCAAGGGAGTGATGAGCACTTCACTGGCATTCTCAATCTGGAGAGGAAAAGCAGAGGGGTGAGGCAGGGGGGCACAGAAGCAGTATCTCAGTAAAGAAGCAAAGCAGTTCCAGCACAAAAAACTACCCCATGCCTCAGTATAAAATCTGAGTTAGCACAATGGTGCCTGCGTCACCTCTTCATAACACTTGAACCAACAGCATGCGAAATCAAAATTTAGTCATCGGTTCAAAATACAGTATTCTTCCTATGCATGAGTAAGACAGATTCTTTAAAAATAAAAATGAGAACCTTTAAAAATGTAAGCAACCACACTGAAGGCAGAGCAGAACTGGTGACAGAGTAGGGTCTAAATTTCAAGCATCAGTGGACATCTTCTTGTAAACGCTCATTCAGCCAAGTTATATTTAAGTAGATATATTCAACCCTAAGGCTATGTTAAAACTCCCTGCAAAAAAATCCCACCTTTGGTGACATAAAAACCACCCAAGACTGATTCTATGTAGCCCTCCCTACCAGTTCTGGACTGGGATCAGGACACTTGTGCTTCCTGGCTGCCTATCAACTTCATCTCACTGTACTCACCCCCTCAGGTCCTGCCCTCCAACCACAGTGTCACCTGAAAGTGAAAGTCGCTCAGTCATGTCCGACTCTGCGACACCATAGACTGTAATAGTCCATGGAATTCTTCAGGCCAGAATACTAGAGTGGGTAGCCTTTCCCTTCTCCAGGGGATTGTTCCAACCCAGGGACTGAAACCAGGTCTCCCGCATTGCAGGTAGATTCTTTAACAGCTGAGCCACAAGGGAAGCCCAAGAATACTGGAGTGGGTAGACTATCCCTTCTTCAGTGGATCTTCCCGACCCAGGAATCGAACTGGAGTCTCCTGCAGTACAGGCAAATTGTTTACCAACTGAACTATCAGGGAAGCCTTATTGTCACCTGAAGGCACATCAAATGGACCAAACCTTCCCCACTTCCAAAACTCTGCATTTGGTTGTTCTTTTAGATGTTCTGTTTCCAAATTCTTGTGTGGACAACTCATTACTTCTTGCAATTCAGTTTTCAGCTTAAATATTACCTCTTCAGGGAGGCTTTCTCTACTGCCAAAGTAATCCAAAGAAACTTCCCACCACTTGACCAAGCATTTTCTTCAGAAGATGTAGACTAGCTAAAATTCTCTATTTCACCATTACAATATACGCACATACACGGCACTCATAAATGCTCACTTGTCCACCACCATCTCCAAAACACAGAAGAGTGCTGAAACAAAGGAATACTCAAACGTTTTCAACAATTAAATAAATGAATGAATTGATTCTTGGTTGGCTGCCAACTGTGTGACCATGGGCAAAACATTTAACCTCTCTAGGCTCTAATTTCCTCATCTGCAAAATAAGTGGGGTGAACTGTTCCAGCTCTAAGATTCTATATTCTTTTCTAAGGCAGCACGATATTTTACAATCTTTCCTTTTAAGTCATTCACTGCTCACTCATCACTCAACTAATTATTTCAGGAATCTCATCGCAACAAAGCATTATTTTTCTATATCACATGCCTATCCATTGCAATGAAACTAACAGAGTAAATGCCAGAAGCCATAGATGGAGACAGCAAAGAACTAACTAGACAATGTGAAGGGGAGAAGGTGGCAGGTCTCCAAATTTATTGCCGTTTGCTTTTCTCACTTTTGAGAGCATTTCTGTTAGAATATTTTAACTCTAGAGTACTGCAATACTGTTTAACTTGCTTGATTTATACTGTCATTTGGCTCACTTATTTCATCTTTTCCATAAATCAAGTATAAATCTCAAACACAATGGTGCTCAGAGCCCCTAAGTCAGTGGTTCTAAATGTTAACTGAAAGCAAGGCTCACCTGAGGAATTTTTAAAATTCCCAGTCTCCAGGCCAGGCTCCAGACCAATAAATCAGAAACCCTGTACCTCATTCCACGCATCAGTATCTTTTAAACTCCCCAAGTTGTTCCAATGGGCCTCCATGGGGAGAATCCAGCCCTCACTAGATGCTAAATACACAAAAGCCCTAACTTCCCACACGGGAATCAGGACACCCCAGTCCTTGTCCCAGTACCTGCTACTGCAAGCTATCAGTCTTCAGGACACCTCACTTTTCTTATCTGTCAAATAAGGGGCTGTACACAGTAAGGAAAAAGGTCCATATGGGTCTAAGATTCTATGACTATATAATTTCCACTCAGTTCCAAGCACTAAGCTAATATGGGAACACAGTAACTCCTTCTTCACCCTTCAAAAACTCATACTTCCAATGGGACACAAATATATGCAGTGACTATCAAGACACTCCACAAGCAGAGTAAGAGGCAGGAACTGGACATTCAGAAAATACAAAGGATGGCCAGGAAGGCTTCCCAAGGAAGGTACAGCTTTACCAGGCTAAGTTGAACTGAAAACAAAGTTATCACAAGGGAAGGAGGTTAGGGAAGGGGCTTGCGATGGCCAGATACTCATATGCAGAGAGCAGAAACTAGATTCACTGACATTAATAATAAAATTGCAGAGGCAAGCTGAAAAGTATAATCCAGTCATTATTCCCTTACCCCAGACCATAGCAATCTGCAGAGTATTCATCATGATTTGCTTGCCACACACCCCACCCCCCACCCCCAAATAACAACTCCGCCAAGAACCAGACTCAAAAGAATCACTTCCCTTTCTGAGGCACTAGCACGTGCACACACACACAAGCTTTGCTCTGCTTCCACCCACCACCCTCCTGATTCTGGCTCAAGAACCCAGCAGGGAGCAATCAAGGCAAACAGTGCCTCTCTCTACAGAGCTGAGAGTGACAGACTTCTGCTCTGGTTGAAGTTTTAAAGAAACACCTGCTTCTTTGATATCACTCACACTTGGGTTTGAATCCAGACTGTGCTACTTATTAACTGGGTGATTTTGGTCATATTACTTTACAGATGTAAATCTCAGTATCTTCATCTGGACAATGGAGATGATAAAGGTCCCACTTCATAGAGTCATCATGAGAGTTAAAATAGAAAATGCATGCCTACATAATGTCTTGGTAGAGCTTGTGAACTGAACTGCATCCCCTCCAAAATTCACATATTGAAGCCCTACTGCTGCTAAGTCGCTTCAGTCGTGTCCGACTCTGTGTGACCCCATAGACGGCAGCCCACCAGGCTCCCCCGTCCCTGGGATTCTCCAGGCAAGGACACTGGAGTGGGCTGCCATTTCCTTCTCCAATTTGTGAAAGTGAAAGTGAAGCCGTTCAGTCGTGTCCGACTCTTAGCGACCCCATGGACTGCAGCCCACCAGGCTCCTCCATCCATGGGATTTTCCAGGCAAGAGTACTGGAGTGGGGTGCCATTGCCTTCTCCTATTGAAGCCCTAACCCCTATTAAATTAAACAAGGAGGCCATTAGACTGAGGTGGCTCTAATGCCTTAGCAGCCTACATAAGCAAACTAAAACCCATTTAAGTCCCTCAAGGTGAAGAAACTAAAATCTAAGAAAATGAAACCAATCACAAACAACTAGACTTTTCCAAACAAGGAAACCACTTAAGCTATAGCCAATCAAATAATTTCCTTCCTTTGCTTCCACATCTGCTATATAAAAGTCTCTGCCCTGTCTCCTTTCGATGGGGTACTCCTAACCATTTATGGGGTGGTTCCACCCAATTTGAACCAATTTTTGTTCAAATAAACTTAAAAATTTAACAAGCTTCAGTTTATCAACACTCACAATATGATAGTACTGATTAAAAATTTTAGAGATGGAGTCTTTGGAGATAATTAGGTCATGAGAATAGACTCCTCATTATGGGATTAATGACCTTGTTAGAAGAGGCAGGAGAGCTTCCCCGACCTTTCTCTGCACTGTGAGGAAACAGCAAGGAGGAAGGAGGTGGCTGTCTGCAAGCCAGGAAGAGGGCCCTCACCAGGAACCAAATCAGCCAGCAACTTAATCCTGGACTACCAGTCTCCACAACTGTGAAAAATAAATGTTTGTTGTTTAAGCTACTCAGTCTGTGGAAATTTGTTATGGCAACCTGAGCAGACTAAGGCAGTACTTAGTCCTGAAACGACTGACTGTCAGTATGGGAAGAGAAACCAATGCGCATTTGATGACTCTCCTCTGAGGCACTGCTGCCTAGAGACAAGCCCACCTGGGGACAAAGCAGCACGCAGCTTCACTCCTAATATCTTAGGAATAAGACAGGGAGGCCCACAAGAGCGTCTTGTGAACGCAAAATCCCTCATCTGTGAATGCTGAACGACATCAGAACAAATCCTCATACAAAAGATATCTCTTAGAAACCTGGAGATCAGTGTTTGATTCTTGAATTTGCATACTGCCTCTCTTTGAAAAGCTTCTTATAGTTCCTATCATTTACTAAGTACCCATTGACTGGGTGCCTACCAACATGGCAGGCACTGTGTTAGGTGCCTTAGAATTAACAAAAGAGAGCTCTTAGATGAGTTTAGTAAGGTAAGGAGAAGGGGAACAGGGCAGGGCACCTTCATTCCCATTCTGCCAATAAGGGATCTGAGTTAAATTCAAAAGATTTATTCCATCTAAAAGCTAAGTAATTCAAATGACCCACCCTAAATCATATACTTTATATACATACATATATATACACACACCTTATAGTGAATCTTTAGGAGGGTAAGTATGTGGTTCTAAGTTATGCATGGTAAACCTTTAATATTTACAAAAGGCTTCAAAACCCAGCAAGGATAAGAAGATGAGATCTGCTCATGAGCCCAGAGTACTCAAGTGGCAGAGCCTAGACTCAACCCCATTCTTCTGATAACAAACCCTGTGCTCCCTCAATGATCACACTGTCCATGACCAAGGGCAACCCAGCCATACTCACCATTCGTATCCGTTCATCTTCAAGATTCCTGAGGACAGTGGCAAACTCCTGTAAAGACCTTGCTGGAAAATAGAAAGGGGTCGTGAGGTGGAAGTAGAGTGAAAGGCCCTTGGAAACCCTTCCAGATACAGCTATTATGTTACGGACTAAAATCCCTTGGCATGTGCAGAAGCCTAAAGACAACTCTTCCCAAGGCTCCCCTTGTCTTTTCATCACTAACCATTAAGGATGACCCCAAAATGCAGGATAATCCACTGGGAACTCAAGCTGGGGAAGGGTTTCCTTCAAGGAAAAGGCCTGCCTGTTCTTGAGAGTCCCCAGGACTGATGGGATGCTGGCCAGCTCCCAGGCTGGATGGGGTAGAGTTCTTCTCAGGAGTTCAAGGATTTCCTGCCCAGGATTCAACCCCTGCAACCTTTGTTGTGGGGCTGCGTCAGAACCCAACCTTTTCTTTGCACCAGAGTAAAACAAACAATGCCGCTGGCATTGGAAGCCACCTCTCTGCCTTGGGTTCCTCCTCTCTGAATCCTCAAGCCCCTTATTATTGCAACACAGTTGGCAGCGTAGCAGTAAGACGTAGACAGTCTCTTTCATTGAAATTATTCCAAATGCAACAAGCATTGCATACAATAGCCCTAAGGATATTGGAGACATTCATGTGTTGTTGGGAAAAGCATTCACATTTTCAGGCATTACAACAATGATATGTTTTCACTGCTCTCAGCTGTCTCCCAATTCCCCCTGCTCATCCCCAGATTCTGATGCTCTGTAAGCCAACAGGGACTCCATAAGCATTTAGTGACTTAATTAATTCAGTATAACTCACTCAACTCCTGCTCACTGAATGGAGTCAACCAATACGCCCAATGGAAGAATATGGTGCAAAGACTAGGATCTGGCAAAGACAGGTGTCTTGACATTGCAAATCCTCTGTGCTGAGTGTTGCCCACAAAAGATGGACAGGAGACGGTAAAGGGAGACACAACACAGTGAGGTAATAAATGAGAACCTCCACCTGTTGCTTAGGAAAATGCAAGGGGTAGGTGGGGGTGGGGGAGCGGTGGGCAGTGAATAATGCAGACCCCCAGCTTCTCTCCACATCCAAAGGCAATGACAGCTACACAGCCCCAGCCAACTGCTGCCAGGGCAGAACGAGAGGTCGGTTGCTCAGGCTCCCCAATTTTTAAAGAAGCTGAAAAACTGGAACTTGACACAAATTCAATTTATACGGTAATTCAGTTTTTAAAAAATGAGTGTCCAAGAAAATATGTCTGCATTAGGACCTCTGATCTAGCTCTTCTCCCGTCTCCCCCATGTTCTACTTTTGCTCTAATCCTAAGGTACCACGTTTGGAATTGGGGGAAGAACGTCATGAAGCCAGCCAGAAGCAGCATGCCTAGTGGAAGGTGGAGACAGGAGCCCCACTGCAAACCTTCCCGTGCTCTCCTACAGGCCGGGGCGGGGAGAGGCAATCCCAGAACTCTGAGGAAAAGCCCAGGAGAGCCCCAGGGCCCCTGATCCTCACTTCACTCTGCTGAGTCTACTCTTAATATCGACTTAATTTATGACACTTACATACTCGCTGTTCCAGGGGAAAGACCCAGTGAGGATGATGAAAGTGTGGTGAACAGTGCACTTTTTACATTCTTACATGTGGTTATGACTTACCTATACACATTTCATCATCTGTTTCTGCGTCTCCTATGCACTGAAATTTAAATTCATTTAAGGAGTCTGCAAATTTCCGCTTCGCTGAAGACAAATCTAGCAACAACAAAAAAAAAGAGTAAAAAATATGAATTACTGAAATAAATCTGCTTTCCTATTTACTGCACTTTTTAGTCCTTGTACTACAAAAAGCAGCTAGATCTGTTCCTGAGTCCATCTCAGAGCACAAAATAATGTAAATTCAAAACAGTAAGTAACTGTTTATAACAGGAAATAGCTGCTTCACAAGTCAGTACTTTTGCTACATTTGCTTTAAGGAGTCTGGCCCCCTCTCCCTTAATTCCTCAAGCTACACACAGAGTCCTGCCATCTCCACTTGATACACATGGGAATCCACTTGCCTAAGAATGTCAGGGTCAGAGCCCACATTAGGATCTGTTCAGCCCTGCTCTGTCATTTACCCTCCACATGGTCAGTGAAGCTGCCCCCATGTCAGACTCAACAATACACACCCCAATCTAACACACACGACAAACAGGCATTAGGTGGGAGCTGGCAGAAAGGGCTTGGAACTACACAGGAGCACCCGAACCTCCTCTTCTGACTCAAGGACACACAAGGTCTGAGTTCTCAGAACCCTCTGGGCTCCTCTCAGAGGAGAGCAGCCGTCGGCCTGACAAAGCTCTGCCTGAACCAGTTAGTTCCCTGGGTGACCTCGTTCCACCACTGCCAGGAGAACAAAGCCCTGGCAATGTTCTGAGCTGGGGTAAAAAACGCACCCCACACATGGTATCTATAAAGAAAGCTCTCAGAGGCCCTTGTCAAATTTTAAAAACAAGCTTTCATTTAAGACAGTAATAAAAACCAATGACCCTTCCGGAACCCTCAGCTTCTGTTAAGGGTATAAACCACCGAGGTACCTTTAAGTGGCCTGACAGACGAGGCTGCTCGGCACAAATGTGCTTAACTTAATTCCATGTGCAGCCTTCCTGCAGATTAGGCTAATCATTCAAATTACCCTCGGACATGTTTCCCTCATTGAAGGGGAAATGGCATTATGTTCAAATTCCCAGAGGAGGGAAATATGAGGCATAACTGGCAGCAAGGTCTGGCTTTCATAAGGTACTAGGGGGAGTCAGGGGTGAGGGAGGATTCTGACTTCACAGATCAACAGAATCTTTTGGAATAAAAGCATCCATGATACTCAGCACTTCTTTTTTAGTTCCTAAATTTGTCCCTTGAGGTTAGGGGTCATGTTTTTTCCATCTACTGGCTTGGTTTGTTTCCTCTCCATGTACTTGGCACTGTACCCTGCTTAGTACGTGCTAAATAATATGTGTGTGGCAGGGATGGGGAGAGCTATATACAAATCCAACCCCCAGTAGTGAGCTCGCCAAACCGAGTGTTCACCCCAAGCAATGGAGCCAGGTGGGGCTGTGCTGCTCTTCTTGGGTCTGAGGCTCAGACCACTGCACGGTTTCCAGGGGCTCCTGCTCTGGGACTGGCCTCCCAACCTCAGCTCATACAACGTGGGTCCCAAGCTCGCTATGCCTGGTGCAAGGCCCTCTACTCATCACCAGCAGAGGAAGGCACTTGGAGCAGAGGCGAACACAGGAGCCAACGGCCAGCAGTCTCTGGTTCAGTCACTTTAATGGAATGGTTCTTGGCCAAAAGTATAGATTCTGGCAGAGAAATCTCTCAGGGCATCTCTTAAGATTGGCCAAACCCAGGCTGAGAATATCCCCAAGAACACACATCATTCCCTGGCAAGTCAAGAAAGAAACAGATGCATCTGAAAGAACACTGTGGGGAGGACAGAGGTGGCAACAGTCAGGCAGGAAGAAAATGAGGAAGAATAATGTTTCTAAGTAGAAGACAAAGTTCTTCATACAGTGCATGGAATGTGGACAGGTGGTACTCAAGTCTAGGCTTTGCCAGAATGTTTCTCTGATCGGGATTCACAGATAGAGGCCTGAGCAAAGAGTAAGAACAGGAGTGCTTCTCTATCCACTCAGCAACCCTCCTGTGCCTCTCCAATAGGGCAAGTAAGACTCAAGCTGGACCCTCTTCTCAACAAGGTAGAAGAAAGGAGAAGAGTCAGCCAGGCTTGGGAAAGCTCCCAAACAGGCACCTGAAAAGCCGTGCTGCTAATGAAGATTGAACGGTGGCTAATGCTGCACAATGGGGCCTTTGTGGGGCCTTCCTCAGGAGGCCCATGGAACCAGAAACAAACCAGTAAGCTTACAACCAGAGTGTGACCCGACTTCCCTGTGTGGTGACACTCAGCATACCCCGTGAAGTGCTGTGGGCCCCACAAAGCTGATAAAGAGGCTGGTCCCCTGGATGGGAGATTAGGTGATGAGTCCTGGTATGGAGTCAACACTGGGCTGTGGGCCAGGAAGGACAGCTGGGTAGAGTGAGAAGCCCAGCCACTGGAATCTGAAAAGAAACTCACCATGGGCTTGAATGACACGTGCCTGAGAGAGAACTCTCCATGTAAAGGTACAGTGAACACCGCTGTTTCCTTGTTCAGCATCTGCTCCCGGCCTTTGGAACAGCATTTCCAGCTCAACTATGAGAACCTCCCTTCTCCACTGGTGTTACATGGGGTCCTGGTTCTACACATTGGTCAATCCCTTCCCCAGGCCCTGGCCCTCACCACAACCTCCGCCGCTCCTGGATTCACGTTTTAGCTCCATCATTGATCAGCTATGTAACTAACCCTGGGTTAGTCATAAAGCCTCTAACATCCCACCTAATGTAAGTCATCCTCCTCGTGAGGAGGCCTACCTAAGCTGTGGGGCTGCCAGGGGACCCACTGAGACACACGGGGTAAGCGCTCTGTAGGCTGTCAGCTTCTGTTCTAGGCGGGGCTGGGCTACCCTTCCTTAATATATTAGTCTTTCATAACAGGGCCCAGGAAGCGAGGCACAATTACCCATACTGAAAGTGGGAGAAGTGAAAGGGCTGACATAAGCACACACAACCTCTAAGACGTGGATCTGCAACTCTGCCAAGCCCTCTGAACTGAGGTCCCTGGAGCACACTGCACTGGTTCACCCCATTAAGATCAACTCCTCTCCATTACTTGGGACAATGCAGAGAACATCAAAAAGAGAACACCCAAAAGCCACTGCTGCTTGGCTACTGCCACCCAGAAAGAGTGCTGGCCTCTTATGTAGGTGATCACGCTGGATATGCAGCTGCACAGACACTTCTTTCCGGTGCCTTCGTTTTGATGCATACAGGAATCTCATACACACATTTCAGTAGAGGAGAGAAGGCAGGGAGGCTGGTGTTGGCGCTGGGTGCATGCCAAGCTTCGTGGCACCCTGCTCATATAACCCCAATGTTTCATGTTCAGGCAGTGCGAGACACAGCAAGGAGCCAAGCAGAGGCAATAATATTTACTTTTCAGAAACATCTGTTGCTAGAAAGGCAGAACGCTGGCCAGAGCAGAGGGAAGGCGTGACTGGCAGCCTCCGGGGAGGACAAGGATCTGCTTTAGAGTAAGTAGGCTCTGCCGCTGAGTGAGGAGACCAGGCAGTGAAGGGACGAGGAAGCAGCTGGGAGTCTGGGCCCTGACAGGCTGCCCCAAAAGCTGCTGCTCACTCGAGAACCAAAGAATACTGCCCTTCTCTTCCAGGAGATGCCACAGCAGATACTAACTCCCCAGAGAGTAAGCCAAGTATAATCCTTTCTTTCACTGAAATAGATAGGTTTACCCTAATTTCTTAAGTTGGTTTATACAAGTTTTACCAGTAATAGCACAAGTCTAGCCATTTCCTTTTGCTCTTTGGGTAAAACAACACACATATGCAAATGAACACATGGGCTTACAAACACGTACATAATGAAGAACTCAAGGTAACCTCACAGTTATGTTTATTATTGGTGCATCTGATGTCCAAAGTTAGCAAGACTGGATATAACTATGCTTAAAATTCTTTGCTACTCTGTCACTGTCCCTGGACCTAGAAACTGGCCACAGTTAATAAAGACCAACGGCTGAGGGAAGCACTTGCAACATGATTAGCCTCTCGGCTGCTTACAAGTGGTGTTCTTGTGTGTACAAGAACACCAAAGTCCCCAGGCCTTGTTAATCTCTCTCTTCTCCGAAAGCCAATTATACTTACTCTCTGCACCACATCATACTGCATTTAGAATGATTCATGAGTGATTCTGAATTACAATGCACAATGAGTGTGTAGGACAGGGCTGGACAAGATGGCCCTCAAAACCTGTTGCATTGATCTGCTTGGCCAAAGAAACACAAGTTGGTTTGTGTGGAATGTCAGATTCTTTAGATAAGAGGACCAACATTGAGAACTGAGAGGAGGACATGAGCCCCAGAGAAGCTGAAGCTTTTCCTCAGAAGCCCCACTCTCAGGTAAAGCTCAACACTCTCAAAATGAAATACTCTCTTCTCTCCTACCAGCTCCCCAAAGAGCCAACCACAGGCCCCGTCCTGTGTCCCTATTTAGGCAAAGGGCACCACCATTCAACATGCCACAGAAGTCAGAGACAGACACCCATGCGTTATCTTTGACAGCAAACGCTCTCCTCCTCAAGTCTGTCCATTTTGCTTCCTATGCATTTCAGTTCTGCACACTCCTGCATCAATACCAGCAACCTGTAAACCAAAACCCCTCATTGCCTGGATAACTGAAACTGCCCCTTCCTGGTCTCCCAACTTTGTCCCTCTAATGGCTCTCCACCCAACCATGCCAGCTCTAGCAGTAAACCCTGCAATGGCTTCCCAGAGCTCTTAAAGGACACAGACCAAAGTCCCCCCAACCGCCCCGAGGCCTAAAAGGTTCTGCAGGGTCTGGGCCGCCACCTCCCGGTGGGCTCTGCAAGCCCTGGCCTCTGCCAGTTTCTGGAATGGACCCTATTCCTGCCAGCAGCCCTCTGTGCAATAGTTCCTTCCTCCAAGAAGTCTTCCCTGACTCATCTAATCAGGCCAAACCCTGCCCCAATTTCACTCCCAGAATCCTATGTACCTCTTCTTCACAGCAACTTTACATCATTCAGATAATTATCTGATTAGGGTCTCCCAGAATGGTAAGTTTCATAGGAGTGATAACTGTGTTCCT